ATTTTGTATAACAAAATCTTTCTTCTATTAATATTTTAGTCTGTTGATTGGTACACTAGCTACTGTGAAGTTTGTATAGTTTACTATCTAACCGATAGTTTCAATGTTTTTCTATAGTCGTACTTGTATCATCTGAATGCATTTATTCATATTATAACTGTACTTTTATTATTGTTATCTTTATTAATCTTTTTCTCGATATATAAAGTCATTGCTCCTTTAAAGTTTGACCTCCAATATGTGAGATCTGTTTATGTACGTATAATATTTTAATATTTCTCTATTTGTTAAACGAAGTACATTACGTCACACATATATTTATAATGATGTTATAAGTTGTTCTATAAAATGTAAACTCTTTAGTAATTTTTACTAGAAATACACAGAGACAGACATACATACACTGAAATTAACATCATTTAAAGGTACTACTTACTAGTGAAGTTATTTTAGTATACATATTAATATTGATGCCTCATACTGGTTCGTGTTTTAAATCACTCCAACACATGTTAATCCATAAATATATGACCCGATTGTCGCGGGCGCGGGTTCGACTCCCGACCGATCTCATTTACATCACGCACTGGGTCGACGTATGTTTATTTGTTTTTTAATTATCTACTATATATATTTTTAATATGGTTGCTTTAAGCTTGTTTTGTGAACGCTTTATTTCTTTATAGTAAAACTAAAAGATGTTTAATACTTTGCAAAATTGTCACGAATGATTATATTTTATATTATTTTAATGATTTATTATATATATATGTATTCTATATTACTCTTTTAACAGATAGGTCATGGATAAATAATAAACATATAAATCATGATGAGGAAGTGTCAGGAGATAGGTTACTGTGAGGAATTATTCCTACAAGAAAAGTGTACTGACCTCACAAACATACAATGAAACGTTTTGTTCCCGTTTACAAAAATTCGGAACAGATTTATGATTATTTTGAAAACGTTATCATTTTACTAGCTTTCCGCCCGCAGTTTAACCCGCGTGGAGTTCGGTTATAACGCGTTTCCAAGAGAACCTTTCAAAAGTCTGGGATAAAAACTATCCTATGTTTTTTCTCAATGTCAACTCTATCTCTGTACCTAATTTCATTAAAATCTGTTCAGTGGTTTAGGCGTGAAAGCGTAACAGACAGACAGAGTTACTTTCGCATTTATAATATTAGTAGGGATGTACATGAAAATGTAGCGTAGTAGTGGAGATCTCCCTCTCAATCATTTCATATACTACTTGATATTGTTCAAGCAACATGAGTTATTATTTTCCTCATACATATGCGTAACCTTCAGTTAGTTCTCTGTTTAGAACTAAATACTACTAGACAGTGATTGCGTCAGAGTATTAAGATAAAGATGTAGTGACGTCATCACACCTTACCTGACACTGTATAGGACCGACCGAGAGAGTTTAGTACAGGGAAGTGAATGTGCTACGTACATTTATATAAAGTCATGACTTTGTCGACGCTGTACCTTTGTTACCTATAATGTTATACGTAAAAATGATTATTATTTATGAAAGTTTGTTTTAAATTATTACAGACGTCATAATAATTAATCTTATATCATATATAGAAAAGAAAATTGTGTTATTTATGCTGTTTATAACTCAAGAATGACTGTAGGGATGTGGTTGAAAATTTATTTAAGCTTAGAACCAGGAGACGGACATAGGATATTTAATTCTATTCAATCAAAACAATAAAATCTAAATAGATTCTAATATCTGGTTATCAACTATCTTAAGGGCAGAATAGTTTGCCCGGTCATATGTTACTAATTTCGAAATTAACGCCGACAAAGTTGCGGGATAAAACTAGTATATCTATGAAAATATGACAAAAGTATATTTGATATCAGTACTGTCTGATATGAAGTGTCTCCTTTATTATTTCTACACACCTCACTTCAAGATCTTCATCATATATCTAAAACTGAAGTACATTAATCAAATGTTTCAAATTAATAATGATATCTAAGACTTTCGCCAGTTTCATTCATTTAAATGAAACTAATATTGTTCGGATATATACTACGGTTGCTGAAAAGTAGCCGAAACGTCGAGAGTATGTAGTTTTAAAAAAATAAACCGCGTAGTATATCTGAAAAATATTAGTTTCTTTCAAATTAGTTCATAGTTTTGGTTGGTAGTGTGATCGTATTGCTGGTGACAATCGAGTTGTTTCAATACATCGCTGATAGTCGTTATGTTTGTTTGTTACAACTATAGTTTATATACAAGCGTGTTTTGATACATTGTGCTCGACTTAAACAATGTGCCGAAATATGGAGCTGACTAATGTAGCTAGGCTTATGAGCTAGAACGACTGCTCACCAGATATGGAAAAAGATTTTATTAAGATTACTTTATTATTAAGAAATGTCTGGGTTCTATGTAGATAATAATATATATAATGTTTTATTTAAGATTATCATTACAGTACTATCTTTTATGATTAGAACTAGTTTTTGACCGTGACTCGGCCTTTTTAACCAATGGAATTAATACAAATTTGTCAAAGAGTTCATTCATGGTAGTTTATATTTTATCTTTTACAAGATCTTCGAGGTAGTGGTAATAACTATTGGATTAAAATTCAAAACAATTAATTAATGAAAAACTGTGACATGTTGAAATAAACACTACTAATCAAACGAGATACAATTAATTCTGAGATTTATTACACATTTGAATTCTTTTTTCCATATTTGTATTTTCCTGCTCTCGTGTCAAGTTTTCTTTGTAAAATGAAGTAAAATATTATTCATATATATCTTATATGTTGACCTTATTATCATAATATATATTTAATACAAGTTAATATAGTTCTTGTATATTTTTATTTTACTCTGAACTGTGTGTTTGTACGTTAGCAGACGGCGATGACGTCTCTTACTAAGAACACCGTCCTTAAAGTTACTTGGAAACAGATTAAGACGAACGCACATACAATAATTTATATATAATATAAATAATGTTTTAAAGTAAATGCCATGATCACAGTCGAACAGTTTCGTCAATATTTTCCTCTATATGTCATACTTTATTTGTATTCATTATTGGTATATTTATTTAATATATTATTACTATATATAGTTTACGAGGACATTCACATATTATAATAAAATGATAATATACAAACAAATAAATATAATACTGTGATTGCAATTAAAGAAAGATGCAAGTCCTTTTGTCATATTTTCACTTGTTTTTTAAATAATCAATGAAATTGTTTAATATATTATATACGGATATATTTGTACTTACCGTCATTATTTTGGTCGAGTTCTGATATACTGTTAACATATACAGGGTGACTGGTGAATTACTATCGATATTTGAGGACGTGATATTTGACGATCATATATGACAAAATAAAAATTAATATAACATAAATATTAATAAACTTCTAAGTAAAGTTAACCAAAAGTTATGTAATTATGTAATTACGCATCGTATGAACACCCTACAGATTAGGTATACACACACACTCACACAGACGCGGCGGCGGCGTAGTGTTGTATCAGCACGCCGCCGCACGCGTTCACACTTGGAACACTTGGAACGTGTACACACTTTATTTATTTATACGGAAATTTGGTCAAAAATTAAGTACCTATTTTTTTTACATAATTCGAATGAGAATCATGTACCGAGTATGCTCCTTAAATATTGATAGTAATTCACCAGTCACCCTGTATACATACATGTATACATATATCTTGTTATATCTCTTTTACACTGAAGGTCATTGCACTCTAATATATAAAATTAATATAAATGATTAAACACATATAACACTGTTGGTCGTTCCAATCCTTGTGAAGATGTTTTAAAGTGAGACACATTCTACATCTCCACATACTGGGAAATGTTTTGTGAACTGAGAAAGGAATCTGTAACACGCGCTTGGGAAGATATGTATACTTAAAGAGTAAACATGACATAAACATGAAATATGATCAAAAATGTATATAAAATTCATACATTTGTAACTAATTGTATGCAAAATAATGTTCTTATACATAACTACATAAATCTAATATACATATTGTATATGTATATATTTGTAGCGTGAATATGTTACTTTGATCTTTTTCTTTTATGAGGTCTATTTAGTTGTTTTTTTTACCATACTTGTAAATGAGTGAGAGTATCTTATTATACACTAAACATATGTTCCTTATTCTGTTATATATGTGTGTATGTGTGTGTGTTTGTTACACTAATATTGAAAAAAAAATCAGATACTAGAAAGTTTATATTCATCTAAAATTCACTAAAATGGAAGGATCAGATATACAAAGAATTTTCTTATGATTCTAAGTCGTTATTTGTAACGCCTATAGTTTCATATACATAGTTTATAATAAATATTATTTCTATTACAAACCACAGAGTAATCTATGATGACGTCACACATCATAATAATTACCTACAACTAACTGTCATGAAATGACGAGATCATTGAAAAAGTGTATAATGTTTTGTCTATATGACGTCACTGAGTATCTTCTTCATATTGTCTCCGGGATACTTCGTTCAGTCAAACTATTTCAGTCCTTCCTTTACTGTACCGCGGGGGAGTGTAATAGGAAGTATTCAGGATATAGGGAATCTCTTATAGACACGTCATGTATTAATAAAATTAGTTTATACAGCCAATATAAATAATATTTATGGAGTTTTGTGTTAAAAGTACTTCTAAAGGTATGTGCCATGATTGTATATGTTTACTTTTGTGTAAATAATAAAATACTTTAGGACATGTGTTAAATATCACTCAATATACGTAAGCTAAGTTGATCTAAAACTCTCTCGTGTCAATAATATTACTATAATAATTATAAAATATTTTGTACAGAATTCGTTACACTTGTTAATACTCTTGCCTTTTATATGTATAAATTACACTTTACATATGGAATGATAATTATTTATAAATTCCAAACTATATTTGTACGTTCTGCGTAAACTGTATGCCCGGGTGTATCGTGTCGTGGTCGTGTCGTGTGGTCGTCGCTCGCCATATGTTGACCCTGGCAATAAACTTCAATCTCCCAACACAAGCGGCCTAGCGGTACGAGGTGAGGTTAGTGCGAACTGTACTCTACAGCTACATGTTCCAGAGTCGTGTATGTGTGTCTGTTGTTCCCTCGTAGCTCCGTCCCTGTCGGACCATTCATGTGTACAGTACAGGTGTCTGTGTGTCCCTCCACCCGCCGGCACGAGGCCTCACGACTCACGTCCAAGCCAGTCTCGCTCGCTGAGCGCCACAGTAAGGACGTGTGTATCTGTTGTGTCTCTAACGTGAAGTGTTTGAGTGTTGTGTTGTGTTTGTGTTGATGCCTGGAGTGTATCACGGTGATGAGTTCGGCGGTTTTGTTGACGGATTGCGTTCTATTCCTGTAAATGTTCCGGGAATCATAAAGTTTGCCTCCCCAGCCGCAGGCGCACTGCTATGGTAGGAGACATTTTTACCTGGAATATAATGGTCTCATTGTTTAGCGATAAGTTTCTGCCGGTCGGCCGTTGATATTCATTGTTTTATAAAAATGTTTCAACATTACGTACACTCGTAATGTATCAGAAACTTTTTATCGCCGCCATTAAAAACCAAAGTGAGGAAAAAGATAAAAAACGTCGTGACCGAGGTCGAAGCATCATCAGACACGTTCCGTTCCTTGATCGAGCTTTATATTGTTCAATATTAATTTTCATAAAACGTAAATATTACCCTCCTCTATACAGATACAAACATAACATCTAGCTAACAATCTGTTTACATACGGACAACATTAATATACTAGCTTACACGGCAAACGTTGTTTTGCCATATAAAAAATAGGAGTTGGTGATAAAAAAAGTAAAAATTTTGGGTTGTATGTATTTTTTAATTCTACGTTATAAAAAAATAAAAACAAAATATTTTTTCGAAAAACATAAGAGTTAAGGATGAACAACACTTATGACTTAGGGGTATGAAAAATAGATATTAGCCGATTCTCAGACCTACTCAATATGCTCACAAAATTTCATCAAAATCGTTCCAGCCGTTTCGGAAGAGTTCTCTGTCTAACACCGCGACACGAGAATTTTATATATACGATATAACGTGATGTATGAGTCTTAACTGATCTCATGGCGAGTGTTCCGAAAAGGAGATCAATTATATACAGTTAAAACAGGATACTGCAGTCAGTATTAAACATATGTAGTGTGAGCTCCAGCGAGCTGTTTACTGTGAAAGACGGGATCCGAGTATTGTTGTTATCAACTATGAGTTAATACTTAATATTGTAACGATGATATATTGTTTTTTGTTCTATCATTAATATGTGTGTCTTTCACGAGAAAATAGATAAATACATGACCCAAATTCAGGATAAAATCTGTCTGTAATCCAATATATGTATATTTAATATAAGTTCGGTTGAAGCCGACCGCGCCATGTGTTTCATTTTATTGTTTGTGTGAATTGTTCGCTAGATTGTTTAAACTTTAAACCATCTCCGTCCGGGATATAGAACAGTTCAAAAAGATATTCTCAGTAAGAAACGTTTCTTTGAAACAACGTTTACATCAAACGGGCCGCGTGCGATCCACGTCTTATAATACTTTAATAGCGGTTTCGTTGCTAAGGCTGACCGCACGCGAAATAATCGAATCGCGACATTAATCCGTACATCATTTGTCTTTGAAAGTATCGGTCGCCGATGGTTTTGGTAGGAAATGGTACGGTTGTCGTCCGTCTGTAGGAGTCCTATATCGTGCGTCATGTACACCATATGTACATGGAGAGCTCCAACAATAGATATCCCCTAATGTTGTTCGTGTTTTAATAGTTCATATAATACACTGACCCTGTTCGACTCGTGTCCTATATCAATCTATCCTCGTACAGGTGTCGCCGCTTCCGTTTCATTATACAATTAATGTTATGCTAATTTAGTTATTATTGTTGTATATTTAGGACGTATATTAGTTTGTCGTGTTCTGTTTCAACTGTTGACAGCCGATGCCTCTTTGGAATAACAATCGGTATACAAGGAGTGCGGGTGGTAGGTCTGTGTGTGTGTGTGTAAGGTTGGATGTTATCGAAACTATTAAACATATGGCTCGTAAGGAATCTTATACTACTATATATAAATACCGCGACTTCACACGGCAGTTACGTTAATAGATCGATCATATATTGCCTATATTAGTAGTACAATTTGGTCGTGAATCCCACTACCAGTAAACGAACCAACCAACAGTCAATCAGTCTTCAGGATTCCTTTCCTACTGATGATGTATCATCGCATATTGTGTCGTCTCCGCGACCCTCACCCTCAGTCTAAACACCACCTTATGTACATATCACTAAGCGTTATATTCCCATGTCCGTGTATGTCACCCGCTTCACCCACCATCACACATATTAGTCCTTGTTCCGCGATTCATTTCAATATCTAATAACTCCATTGTCTGTCTGTCCGTGTGTATCCATTGTATTATAATTCCTAGCTTACTAATAGTTCGTCGTGTAAGTAAATCGTACTATATGTTACTACACGTATATCTTTATTTTGATATACATATAAACTTCTTAAGTTGTATATAATATTTTCGTTATTATCACAATTCTCTTTTCGTTTCGTTCGTTTCGTTATTTGTTCTATGTTGTATGTCTGTGTAGTCTAGACGCATTCTGTTTGACCAATGATTCAGTATTGTATGCTATTATAATGAGTGACCTTATACATATTGATATACGAAGGAAATGTACGGGCATACAATATTATTATATTATATATACCCGCCATAGAAATTTCTTATACTATATGCTGTCTTTCATGTGTCATAGGGAAGCTCCATGTGTTTGTTTTTTTGGGACTTTAATGCTGAACGGATTTTAAATGTTTAACATATTATATTGATGAAATATCTATAAAAATTATTTTATTATAGTCAGTATTAGCGTTCGATCGTTCAGGAAACTAGTTGCAGTCGTTGTATATGAATTAATTAACATTTAAGATATGCTCGATGTATTATTATAAGAACACACAGAACAGACGCTCCGACTGTGACTCATTAAATTGATGGAATTATAAGTGTTAGGTGACGACTAACATACATACATACAATATACAACTTATAATATATATAAAATTTCCATGTCAAAAATTTTACCATATTTTATATGAGTATTCAGTAGGTATGAGAATCGGCTACTACCTATTTTTGATACTTCTAAGTAATAAGGGTTGTTCATCCAATTTTCTTTTTATTTTATACGAAATTTATTGTTTTTATTTATTTGTAATCTTGTACAATAAACCCAAATTTTTTTACTTTTTTAACACAAACCCCTATTTTTTTATATGACAAAACAACGTTTCTCTTAAATCAAAATAATGTCTTAGCATATAGAGCAATAATTACAGCTTCATATATTTTAAAGCTCTCTTAAGCACGCGTATTCTTTATTAATAGCTTTATATTCATTCCATACAATCCCTCGGTATGTATGTATGTATGTCTGTTGTTCGTTCTAAGGTCGTGACATTCCGTCTTGTATGAGCCAGTGTCGACAGACGAGTGTCAGCTGACACGTTTATTATAGTTCGTGATCTGGACGAATGTCAAGCGACACACGGACACTAATCACATAAAAAATATATATACATACATTGTTTGATACTGAACTTCGTCTATAGAAGAATTTTGGATCGAAATAGTCTCATGATATTTGCTTTTAAATGTTCAAAATAATCAAGTTTGTGAGATTATGATTATTAAAATATTAAAGAATTTAGTTGGTACTTGGTTCATTTGTACTTTCTTTGGATAGGAATAAATGTTATTTGTATGGTTTTTGTTATAAAATGAAGCTAAACTTAAACAGGCAACTTCTCCTAGATTGTTAAGATTTATCGTTGATGTTAAAGAATTATATTTTTTTTGATGATGTCTACATCAAACGTCAACAACATCTATATTTTATATACTTAGTTGAGACAAATATACAGGGTGACTGGTGAATTACTATCAATATTTAAAGAGAATACTCGGTACATGATTCTCATTCGAATTATGTAAAAAAAATAGGTACTTAATTTTTGACAAAATTTCCGTATAAATAAATAAAGTGCGGACACGTTCCAAGTGTTCCAAGTGTGGACGCGTGCGGCGGCGTATTGTTGTATTGCTGATACAACAACACGCCGCCGCACGCGAGTGAGTGTGTGTGTGTATACCTAATCTGTAGGGTGTTCACACGATGCGTAATTAATTACATAACTTTTGGTTAACTTTACTTAGAAGTTTATTAATATTTATGTTATATTAATTTTTATTTTGTCATATATGATCGTCAAATATCACGTCCTCAAATATCGATAGTAATTCACCAGTCACCCTGTATATCCTTTTAAAGCTTAGTATCATTCAATGAAGGGTTTCTTAAAGGGTTTTCTCAACAGTCGTCTATCGTACGTCCCTCCTCTACTATCTCTCAGTATTTCAATATATCTATATATATAGGTAAACATTATAATGTATCTCCTAAACTATTATATTATACACACATCTCTGTACGTGGTCGGGTCGAGGGTGAATTAATTCTGTGTCTAGACAGACATTAAAGTTCATCCTACCTCCTCACAGGTTGGAACTACGACTTGTATTCATAATGAATAACAAGTAGTTTACCTACCGAAATTCAAAAGCATTTATGTGCTGAAATTTTCCGTTTTATATACATATATAGTTATATTTTTCCTTGTGTCCTGTTATATTGTAATTAATAAATTTGTTACTTTTACCTGTTGTCATTAGTGTTCAGCCTATGTATGATTGTTGTATGTGTGTATGTAAATTTTCTTTTTACTCGTTTATTACGTCTTCATTGCGTAATATTTTTTAGTTAGTATAAAGTTAACCGATTGTTCGCATAATGTTCTGTGTTTGTTTTAATTATAAACTTCAAATTCTTATATACTATATGTATGTTCATTGTGCCACTGATCGTTTAGTATATGTAGTATAGTACACACGTGTGTGTCTGTCCGTATGTTCCACCACAGCTCGGTAGCACTGACCTCATTCCCGTACTATTTAAGTGATGCCTCCCCTTCAGTTTATTATAAATTTTTTATCGATCGACACACACACATATAGTCTTTGTTGTGGCTATGATTTTATAACATATAATGTCTATTAATAAATACACATACACATCAACAGATATATTTATATCATCACTCTTTTATATAATAACACAATGACTTTATACAGGGTGACTGGTGAATTACTATCGATATTTGAGGACGTGATATTTGACGATCATATATGACGAAATAAAAATTAATATAACATAAATATTAATAAACTTCTAAGTAAAGTTAACCAAAAGTTATGTAATTAATTACGCATCGTATGAACACCCTACAGATTACTCTACACTACACACTCACACATACGCGCGCAGCGGCGTGTTGTTGTATCAGCACGCCGCCGCGCGCGTCCACACTAGGAACACTTGGAACGTGTACACACTTTATTTATTTATACGGAAATTTGGTCAAAAATTAAGTACCTATTTTTTTTACATAATTCGAATGAGAATCATGTACCGAGTATGCTCCTTAAATATTGATAGTAATTCACCAGTCACCCTGTATATTCTCTATTTCTGTTTATTATGATTTTATTTCATTCTATATATTTTTGCCCCGGCTACGCTTGCTTGATTTTATTAACTGTCATTGCAGTACATACATATTATGTTAAATAATTAATTGTTTACTTAATATTTACTCCCCATTAACATCAAACGTGTGTCATATTATATGAGGTTATTAATTAATATTTACATATATATGTGCTGGGTTCTTTATTTTATTTCTCATTTTCCATATATAATACATTGTTAGTCGTTACATTCAACATGCTATCTATCAATCAGTTACGGAATAGATTTCTGTTCGGTAAGAATTAGTGTACATATATTATTTACATATAGGTATATTAATATAGGTTTATGTATATACATATATAAATATTAACTTCCTTCCGATGTTGTCTGTGTGTGTGACCTTTAGTCAGGGTTTCGTTAGACGTACGTTCACTTTTGATAAAGGAGTCCAAAAAAATCTGTCTCATTAGTCAACTGTAAGTATCGACTATATGTAATAAATATTTTGTGTTGGTCGAAATTTAAAATATTTTCAAATATGAATCACGAAGCAGGAGTTGTGATTTTGAAAGTATTATTGAGGATTTTTCTTATGTATTTTCTAAATATCTTAGTATATTTTTCTTTTACTATATTATATAGTCATATTCGTTCCATATAAAAGCTCCATCATATAACATATTATATCACAAACCACGGTCACCTCAATTATCATTATAATATACATATGAGTTATGACCTCCGTCTATAAAGGCGGGTCCGAATTGATCGCTTCCAATACATTCATTATATATAGTTATGTATTTTATAATACTATGATCTTTATATGTGAGTATTATAATAGTGTATGGATTCTCATCCAGAATCCCTGCTAATATTATAAATGCGAAAGTAACTCTGCCTGTCTGTCTGTTACTCTTTCACGCCTAAACCACTGAACTGATTTTAATGAAATTTGGTACAGAAATAGATTTGACCTTGAGAAAGAACATAGGATAGTTTTTATCCCAGACTTTTGGAAGGTTCTCTTCGAAAAGCGATATAACCGAACTCCACGCGGGCGAAGCTGCGGGCGGAAAGCTAGTAGTTTCATCTCACTGTTCATCTTGTATCTGGAGCCGTAGTGACGTCACCTGACTGCTAGTCCTCGAATGATTGAAACGGTTTTCCTCGATCAGTCAGCAGACAGGAAAATAAACTCGACTCTTACTAATATTTTAATACATATGATAACTATAACGTTATTGTTCCCGACTTCGTCTGTGTTAATTTCTCGTAATAAAGTCACTTTGTACTCAATTGTATGGAATTTCGGGATAAATTATCCTGCTTTGGAAGCTACGTTGCTGTAAAGTTTCATCGAAATTAGTATTGTGGTTTTTCTGGAAAGAGAGTCAAATATTCATACACCCTCACATAGTTTTATTATTTACTAGCTTTGCCGCGACTCCGTCCGCGTGGAATAGTTACTTCCGGCAGATTTTTGGTTCTTCCCGCATAGTTCCCGTTCTTTCGGGGTTTTCGGAATGGTCGAGTTCCCGTAGAATTTTCAGGATAAAACCTATATTTTTTTAAAATTCACAATGAAGTACTCTTAATCAACAACATATTTATTTGTTTATTTGAATAAAGATTTTATAAAATTATTTCGACCAAATTAGGTACCATAAAAACGGTTTTTGTGAGTTAATCTTAAAAGATAGACATATACTGTCGCGGACTGTTTTTTAGATCATTAAAAGAGCTATTATTCTTTAATAATATTTTTTGTGTATCTTGAACCGTTTTCACGGCGCACGCAACGGAAGGCTTCAAAGATGAAATAATTTCTCCCGTTTTTTACACATTTACCACTATATCTTTGCTCCTATTGGTCGTAATTTTATGTTATATAGCCCACAGCCTTCCTCGATAACTGGACTATCCAACACAAAAAGAATTATTCAATTCGAACCAGTAGTTTTGGAGATTAGCGCTTTCAAACAAACAAACAAACAAACAAACTCTTCAGCTTTATAATATTAGTATAGATACCAGGCGGGTTATGACGTGTACTCACTACTGTCTGTTTAATCGTATAATTTATAACTCAACTATGTGGATAGGACGTGGTTAAATTCTGGTTTAATATTTTCTGTCATTACTTCAGAAACAAACACACATACATACAATTTGAACCATCTGAGTCTGGCTTGTCCCAGAGGTTCAACGTGATCGTAGGGAAGTCCATAGTTTTTCAATTTAATTAAAACTTTATATAGTTATAATGTCCTTTAACTAATTTTATTGCTTGTCATACATCATAATGAAGTAATAATTGACATAAAAGCATGCGGTTGTTATATACATATATATAAATAAATTTGTGTGTGTGTGTGTGTGTGTGTGTTATTCGTTTCCTGTTTTTATTTTAGTCAGAGGGGATCCTTTGCCTGCTGGTTCTGATACGTGATTGAGCATATTTGGATTATTAAATTAGTTTCATTATAATACTTTACAGTATGATGGAATACCTATATATATTCACGACTGGTTCGTTTACGACCAAAATAACAATGATTTTTTAAAATTAGTCTATACAAATAAATAAGATATCTCTGTGACACTACACTATTGGACAAAAGAGAAGTTAGAAGTTAATATATGTGTGTGTGTATGTTTGTCTTTTTATTATATCAGTGTATGAACTATGAAGAGTGTCATGAGTGTCATGGGTATATCAATATGCACACACAGTTGGCTGTTTCTTTTTTTCGAGTAACGTATAACGTTTTTGATCCGTCAACATGATGTCATGATGTCATCTCGACAAATGACTTCATTCCTCGTCTCAATCAACAAGTATTATACACACACACACACACACACAAACACACACATACCTATAGTATAATGTAATAACAATTCGCTACCTATTAATATCCACAATAGTTCACATACTGACTCTCTATACGTTACTTTCAGTAACTTTATTATAAACTAAAGGTAAATAACTTTTGGTGGACTTATTTTTTTTTTTAACTTATAATTAAATCGATTATGGAAGATTTTATATTTGATTCCGAACTATATTATATTATTGTATAATTAATATAATAAATTTGATTAGACCGTTGGAGTTGAAACAAATTTAATTGTACATGTTTCGTCAATATATTTTTCGTTCCACGCACGCTCTGATTCTTGTCGTTTCGTATTTCATTATAATTGTAAAACAGAATTCATTTTTTTTGAATATAATATAATAATGTAAGTGTTTATTATTTTAATTATTCTCTGTATATGGTTTGATCTCAACACACGAGGCTGACTCGACCATAATATGACACCATTTTAAATAATCATAAAATATATAATTATATGTTCCTTGTTATATATATTTCTTTGATGTTTCCGTCGCTTTATATATTTCTGGTTAGTTTGACTGCTAGAGGTTATTCTGTTAAGTCGTCGTACGTTTAACAAGACGTGTTTTGGTCGAGGACATGTAATATTAATTTCCTCAAAACAACCAATCAATTGTCGATTCTAAAAACGTTTGGGTGATTTATAATATTTAAACGAAATCCTGTTTATCCTCATACTGTATATACATACATAGTAGTATATATGTGTGTGTGTGTGTGTGTGTGTATGTGTGTCATGTATATCTGTGCGGAAGGTCGGAGGTCGGTAGTCGCTTCCTTTCATAGTTTCCTCTCTCATCCTCCGCACATCCGATCATCACAGGCGGACTACTTCCGACCGTGACGCACGGACATACACAACAAAAACATTTGTATATATAGATGGGATTGATTTAAATACTTATTAATAATCCGGTGTTCGTTATAAAGTTCATTATCACTTAATTAATATATGAAGTTTTACGTAAAATATCTCTTTTCAAATCTTTTTCTATGTTTGCTGTCGACCATTGGGAATATGGAATTTTTAATTTTTTTTAGTTTTACCTTAAAAACCAGTTTTATTATAAATTGAAACCTACTATTTAGCACTATACTTTTCAGTCATTTATCGCACGTAGCATTTAAATTTGTTTGTATAGTTGGTACGTTCAATACAAATAGCATCTTTCTTTTTTTAAGTTCTGCTCGTTGAAAAAACGTCATAGGTTTTGTAATGATTCATTAGAACAGTCCCGCTCATTAAAGGTATCACTTAAATAGAACAGACCACGCGTGAGTCAGGGAGAGGAGGACGGGTCACAGGAATGTACAGTTATCATGCTGTGTGGGTATAAATAGATCGATTATTATCATAGAGGTCAAATGTACTGCGATATGTACCCACCAAATTTATTTTTTGTATGCGATAAAATAACAAAACCGCCGAAAAATCACAATTTTTGAATGTAATTATGTTTTAGTGATGAAAATGTGTGGTGGCACCAGAAAAGTGACAGCAGTGTGTACAGTGATGACAGGGTAGTGACGTTATTTACTCTGGCTTGTAGTGATGTGAACAGATAACAGTGAAGTTTATGTTGTGTAGTCGAACGATCATATGGTCGGTATGATGTGGTTCAAGAGGGACGCTAAGGTCCCCGAGAAGGACAACGTTGTTAATAAACTGAAGAAGAAGAAACCGGTTCTGTTGAAACCGACCCGCGAGTCCAGTGAGAGGGAAACCTCGGCCGAAAGTGACAAGGAGAAGAGACGGTACTCTGATATACTGGACATGAGGGTGTCGCTCGGTATGTATGGAGCCTTAACACGTCCCTCGCCCTGTCGTGAGCACATGTCGCTACTGTGGGTCGCCAGGGTAAAGATAATGTACGTGATTATTATAACTAAGAATTATATGAAAACTTATAGATTATCTTCCGAATAAAATCCAAATAATAACTTAATGGGTCGTTAACAGCAAGTTTGTTGTCTTAGCTCGTGCTGACATAGCTTTAGCCGGCTTCATGAGATATGATAAGATTAAAATACATACATACTGTATACATATTATCCGCCTCCCATGATACGAATTAACACTTACGAGGTTATTCGGTTGCCAACAAAAATTATTCAAGTTTTAAGTGTTTTATTTTTTACAAAACACAATGATAAGTGAACAGGATATTATAATTATGTGAATGCATTAGCTTATATTACGTTGTCAGTAGTTTAGGTTGTGGGGGGTAGGGGGGGGGTAGATAGCGTGCTTTTTTTTGGTATCGCGTGATCAAATTAAGAATATCAAAATTTGTAACCTCAATTCTCCGGCAATCCCTAGAGTCTAACGTCCTGGATATTGCCTCTTCTAATACAATAAATATAATAGTATTAATTATATTATACAGTTACTAATGACTATTCATTTTAGGTGAAAACGTTACTTTCTTTGACTATATATATATTTTTTTCCTTTATCTTAATTTGCATAATTCTCTCTCTTTCCCGTAATCTCATTGTTATATAGAAAGTGTACAGTCATTGTTGAGTTACTGGGACCCATGTACATTATACTCGAATAGATCTAGACTTGATCGAAATATTCATATTATTATAATTATAATAGTTTTATCAAAAAACTCATATAATTTATATTATTCTTTCATTCTTAAACGAATCGACTGACGGCAGGTGTTCGTTGAAGGTTTTGGAATTATACAAAGAGGACATAATTAAAAGAGTTATTTATTAATTGATGTATACTTGTAGTCAGCTGTTTTAATGAAGGCTTTATACCTTGAAGTGCGGAAAATTACATCGACCGTAGACACTAAAAGCTGTGCTAAGATAAATTAATGTTTTATTGATTACTGCGTCTCGACTATTTAAAACATAAATTGTTTGAATTGAAACTGTTTCTGACTAATGTGACTTAATGAATAATGAATATTCTCTGGTTAGTTTCTGAACATTACGTAAAACGGTCGCGAGATGTGCTCACACAGATAAGTAGTTATGTGAAATGAAATGGCGAGGGAATACGACACTCACTGTAGTATATAGTTACAGCTTGTATGAACTTATAACGATATTATATAGAGCGGAGAGACGAGAGCGACGAGTCGCTGTACGAGTCGGCGGACTGCCACAGTGACGCTATCTCGGCCAGCGACGACGCTCTGCCTGCACTGGGGAAGACACCCACCATCAGCAAGGAGTCGCTCAAACTAGCGGTCACCGATGAAGAGGGGGAGCTGTCCAGGAACAGGCGGGGACACAGGAAGACGATGTCACTATCAAACCCTTTGGAGATAGTGAAGACGTGGGGAGACGAGTGGTTCGACCACAAACAGAGAGAGATAGACAAGAACTGTGACAAGAAGAAGTCTAGGGAGAGTCTGTGGAGTGAGGAGGACAGAGAGTCGATCTACGGCTCCACCGCCAAGCTGGACCAGACCAGGAAGAACAGCAAGAAGGAAGACAAGCATAGTGACAGCAGCAGAAAGAGCAGCACCACCGAGCCTCCCAAACGGAAGACCAGTAAAGTGTCCTCGGTCGGTGCGCTTAACTTCCTGCGACGAAAGAAAACACCGACCTCGATGAAGGCTGTAGAGGCGGTCGTAGAAGTAGTCGACGGAATAGTTAACACTGATGAGATACTGAACCGAACCAAGTTCTTCTTGGAGGAAGAGAAGAGATTCTGTTCAGTGAGCCAGGGGAAGCCTCCCGTAGATACAGACTCGGAGGAAGAGATGCCGCCTCCGAAGGTCATAGGAGAACATAGGAGACGGTTGAGTAGACAGACGTCGAGAAGTAAGAGTAAAGTTAGAGGGAAGAGTCAGAGCGTTAAAGTGAATACGTTAAGGAAGACGCACAGTGCGACCTTGAAGAAGGCCAAGAAGAAGAATGGAAAGGTTCCTCTCGCGAGTAGAAGCAGACAGGCGAGCATCGTAGACCAGAGTGTGGTCGTTAAGAAGAGTCCGGAGACAGCGAAGCAGAACTCGTGGCTGTTCAGCGGGAAAGGTGAGGATTCATATGTTTATACGTGTCTTATCCAAAAATATTTTGTCAAATACTGTCCTGTTATTTTAATACTATGTATACGTCCTCAATATTTTCATCATTAATACACATCTCCTACTCTAAAAGCATCACCTCGTCCCTGTCAGTATCTGTCTGTCTGTCTGTCTGTCTTAATCGCGAACACTTTATTAATACCAGAACATTTTGTTTCGATTATAATTTAAGTCAACTATTTCATGCCTTCCTTCCACAACCAGGAACCATTTGTTAAATTCCATACATTCTCCAACAACTTATGGAATTTCTGTCCCTTTGTGTTATACTGTTTGTGGTCTACAATTATTATTATATACGAGTGGTACATCAGGTCACAAGTACAGGTGTGTGAGGAGCGGTTCTTTATAAATACATTCACAGGTTCTGTTTTATATCAGACTCGTTTAATGACGCTGTTAAAATGTTTTGGGAAACTGGATTCAGATGCGTGATCACTTGGACTTGTTGAATTAATAATATATTACCCTCAAATATTATAGTGGACTCTTATTTAATATACTAGTACTTAAGTTAGTAATTTTTGATCAAAACAATTGATAAATGCAATAATAATAATCTTTATCGTGTATTGTTGTCGAACAATTGAACTAAAATTATTGAAATCAATAAAATATGTTGAATATTTCATTAAAGATATCGATTCAAAACGCGATGTCTACTGCCATAACACGAACATGTACATTATTGTCCTTTGATATAAGTTTAACATAACCGATAGTCACGCTGATAAATGTAATGTAAATGAGATTTTAACTCAAACTAAATAGTACTGACCAACTTAAATCTAGGTCTATATATCATAACCAACAACTGTTAGCTCTATTGAATGTTAACAGGATCATGTGTGTGTGTGTGTGTGTGTGTGTGTGTGTCGACACTGTACAGGGTACAGTGGACCACCGGCGAGATGGCATCGCGAATTATAAACGATCATATGACTCACGAGATATTCATCAATAGTACAGCGAGCGGCCCTGCGACGATGACGTCTCAATATAGATACTAACACCTACACGATAAGGAACAATATTATATGACACAATTATAATACGAATACGCTTAATTATATGAAGGTCATTGTGAACCGTATCACAATATATATAAAGTTGATTATTCAATAAATATATTATAATAGTCGGTATGTGCAGTTTTTTCACTCACTGTTCGCCCCTTAGGGATCCCGTCTTGTAGTGATGATGCCCTGATGTACCAGTTCAAGGTATTTTATAATACATGAACATAATTATTCTTTTTCATTCAGTCTGAACACTTTCATTGTCAGAATTAAATTATAAACTACCATAATGTAGTTCAATGACACTAGTTTTTTTCCTCTAATTAGAAACTTATTTAACGTCTGTAATAAGCGTTAAATCTTTTATTTATAAATATTTTTCTATTTTAATTCGCAACCTTAATTTACTGTAACATATTTATATTTTATGTTGGTGGTTCATATTATTCTAGACTTGTAGTGTTGATAAGCCACGTGAGTCAGTTCTGTTCGTCAAACTTATTAATATAAATATTACATTATAATTATCCTCAAAGTTAAATACTAAATGTTTTCTAACACGAAGTAACTGTTTAATAAGAGTTCTAATACTATTTAGACATCACTGACAGACGGTGAAGGAAAACATCGTGATGAAACCTGGACTTATAATTACCAATTATAAGTTTGAAATCACCAACCCGTCTTGAGCAAGCGTGGTGGTTAATACTCAAACCTTCTCCATGTGAGAAGAGGCCTTACAGCAGTGGGCTCTGATAGGCTGATGATGATGATGAACTGTTAAGTGTGTATCAAACTATGCACATATGTCTATCTACTACAGTCAGTGTGTTGAATTGTTGACAGATGTAGTTGGTATATATATGTAGTATGGTGTAAAGTATTAATAAAAATGTTTTTAGAAATACTTTTGGTGATAGAAGTGGGACACAGGGGGAGTGAGGAGTTTGAATGATTGTTACAAGAGCTTTTGGGCTATGTGTGGCCTGTGGAGTATATAGAATACTGACTTACATTAAGTACATAATACTATTATATATATGTATGTATATAAAGGATCCGTCTGTGTGGACACGAGGTCTTCACATACGTCTTGTCCTGATGAGAGGATCCATGAATTTCTTTATATATCTATTATTATATAACTCCTTACATTTACATATATATTTTCGATAGGGTGGTAATATATATCTGTCTCTCTCTCTCTTCCTATATCCCTCTCTTTCTCTCTCATTCTCCGGTGAGTCATAAGGATAGTAGTGACGTCACTGGTCACCGACCCCTCTCCACGGTTCACAGAACTCACTGGAAATTTTTATAAAGTTTGGTTTAAAATCAATTGTATGATGATTGTAAAGTTAATTATATCGGGAACATCGGAGAGAGAAAGACAGAGACAGAGTTAATATACAGAAAGAGAGAGAGAGAGACGAATAACATAGAAATAGTATGAAAAATAAAAGAAATTATCGGAACCTTAGAAGTGGCTCTAGTAGATACTGAGAAGTAATGAACAATTCACCTCGCTTGTCACAAGTTGCCGTTGTCCGCGGTTTTCCCCTCATATTAAATTCACTATAACACACGCGTCATCATTATTATGAGGTTTCAATAATTTTCTCAGAACCCCACCAACTGTTCCTGACTTGGTGACCTTCCAATTTAAAGATATTCTTAAAAACCAGTCTTAGACCAGTTGCGAACATTCTTCTTTTTGAAGACGATTTATGAATAGACCTAGAAACATTATCTACTCCTAATGACATTACTGCCTGCAAGTTAAAGTCCCATCTAAACTGGTACAGTCGTTCTAGAGATTAGTGTGAATAACAAACAGACATTCATATATACTTTAAGTAAAAAGCTGTTAATTTGACATACAATATAGTTTAATTAATTGGTATAGATGTTGTTATATTTTTAATTTAATTTTTTATTTATTAAGAATTATAATAATATATCTCTCAATAGACATATGTATGTATGTTAGTGTTAAACAGAGATGTATTTTGGAAAGGCAATATACTCTCATATTATGTATATTATATATACCTAATGCAGACGGATGATTCAGAACAAAAAAATTGGAAATCTCCCTTTTGTCAGACCTCACATTCTTGTATTTTTAATATTGAAATGAAACTACATACATATATCTTCATATAAACATTGTGTGTTTTGAATACGAACGTGTGATGCGAAAGTTAACTTGAAGAAAATATGCCTTAATTAATGCAATGCTGACGATAACTTACCAGTTATACTTAGTAAGAAATAAATTTTTTCATTTACCAAAGCTACTTCAATATCGATCCAGCGACATCTACGTATAATCAATAATCTTTATTTTTTAATAACTCCAATTATATATTTGTTAGTGTTCAAGTCTCACGTTGAAGACGCTCGTTGAAGGATGCCGTGTGCCGTGTGAGCCTGACATCATCAATATTATTAGAACGTATTGTTTACTTTGAATACACTTTGACGATCGATCGACAAACTAATAACTACAATTATAACTATTAAAAATGATTTTGTTATTAAAAATATTATGGTAATTAATAAAAATTATATTTTATCAAGTTTTTGTGAAGTTCAATTAATTATATGCATGCTGTCGTAAATTGTATGAAGATTGAACATGGTGGTATTAGATCTGGATTCAATACACAGATGTCGCTTTAATGAATTTACTGTATTTAAATAAGGAACGTGCAGAACACTCGATGTTAAGTATGACTACATGTAGTAATGATCATGATTATAATAAACATACAAATGTATTTATTTTCAGGTGATTCACGGAGAGAGGGCTCCACTGACGAGCCGGCTGCGGGAGATGTAGATGGAGACGCAAACGACGCGCCGCGGGAGATTGAGAAGGAGAACAAGTAGGATATATACATATAACATAGAATATTATCAAAACAATATGTTGAAAGACGCAATTGAGTCATTATTAATAGCGCCATCTAGTAGTTAGAAAAAGCAACTAAAATTCCGTGTTGTGTCGCTAGATGGCGTTTCAAGTTGTTCTATCGCACACTAGATGGCGCTTTAATCAAAATATGAAAGTTAACTGTACCGATGATTTTCGAACAGATATAAAATATTCATTGTACGCGGACTAATCGTGCCTGTCAATATATATGTGATGTAACTTATGTCATATGTCTCACAGTGTGAAGAGCAGCACCCGCGGCGTGAACCGCGCGGAGAGTTGCAGAGAGAGAGATGCGCCCAGGAGAGGGAAACACAGGAACGCATCCGACCCGAATAGACTGACGGCGCATCATCATCAGTGAGTATTATATATAATTATAATATATACAGCATGTTCACTAACACGAGGCCTGTAGGTTAGACTGTAGAGGATGCTCATGTGGGCTGAGCTAGCTTTAATGCAACTATCACTGAATTATAGACGACTATCTGTTATATGATGACGTTCAAATATAGTCTAGGCGAAACGAGATTATATGGTAAAAATACGAGATGTAAAACTTTTGAGAGCATTCATTTAAATTATTCAGATTACTTCGCGCAATTTATTATTGTAAAAACTACATACTGCAGTATGTAATCGTATTAATCCCAATAATATTAGTTTTATTTATAAGAAAAATAAGATTTAGGAACAAAAATGAAATAGACATTTCATTACAAATTTCTATTAGACTTAAATGAGTATGTATGGACAACGTGTGAAGTAGATTTTGAAAATATATTTAAATATAACAGTCTGTCCGTGTGTATCATTAATATGGTGCATACGAAATGTGCCGCTTCCGTTATGACTACATTATATATGAGGAACGGAACGAGGAGCTGCCAAACTATATATTATTATAAGAAGCTTCAGATGGCCCGCGTGGGACATATTAATATATGTATCTATATATACATACATCAAGCGTAAAAAATATCTTCAGTGTATAATGTTGTGTGTACGTCATGGTAGCTTAGTGGTTAAAGGCCCGCCTCTCATGCATGAGGGTGCGAGTTCGAAACCTGGCAAGTACCGATGAGATGTTTCCGAGTCATATGTACTTTCTAAGAGTATTTAGACACTGACTGATGAAGGAAAACATCGTGAGGAAACATGGATTTTTTCAAATTATAAGTTTGAAATCACCAACCCGTCTTGAACAAGCGTGGTGATTAATACTCAAATCTTCTCCATGTGAGAAGTGGCCTTTGCTCAGCAGTGGGCTCTGATAAGCTGATAATGATGATGATCCTTCATATAACTTTACTTCTCACTAGTCTCATATAGTTAAATGTATTTTTTCTTCTATCATATTCGTTACATTCCTAACATTCTTCTGTCTTCTCCGACACCCGAATTAATATACATCCCCGCTAGACATATGAAGGACGCAACTGAACACGATCACGATATATAATATGAACCTTATTGTCATAGTGATAGAGTTGAAAATGATCATTATATTATACAATGAAGGATGTCTTACAGATACGTTCTATGTGTATGTAGATAAGGTCCATTATTGAATGACCGTCAGCTGTTTAATATCAATATATATCGACAGCTCTGTAAACATACTAATTATAAAAATAGAATCGTTTTTATTTCATATTAATGTTGTTATTTGTACCGACCAGCCAGTTTAACGTGACACATCTCACTACGTCGGTATAGTTCGATGAAAGTTCTTCATAGGACCGATATAACGTGACACTCGAACGGTCGTGGGTCGTATACAATGGAGGGATCGTTTATAAATGGTGGCTGCGTTTCGTCGAAATGTGCAGTTTCAGCTTTCAGTGTAGTCTGGAACGCGTCCCGACACACGCGTCTCACGAGACACGGGCGAACACGGGGCGGAGACTTGTATAGAAATAGTTTGAGTGAAGTTGAACTACTGTGAATATTGAGTTTGAGTGCGACAGACATATGTTACTATTGATATATTGTAATGTAACAAACATACATATATACACATTACGGAGCGTCCATCAAGCCCTACATATAAAATTATGATGTATATTTAATAGATCCGTTCCAATGACATGTTTATATGTTAGTTCCGTGTAAAACACAAACCCTCGCTCCGAGAGGTCGGTTAGAACTAATTAGGATACATTAAGACATGCAACCGGACTGTTAGCGATGGAAGGGTACTAACACGACACAAACACACACACACACACACATAAACACATAGATACGTATATAATATATATACACACACACACATATCCTTGTCATCCACCCGTACTTGTATTCGACAGCTCGTCGTTTTGTTATCTGTAAATATATTATATATACAATCGAGCCGGCGCTATTGTTTCAATGTTACTACAAACAGACGGACAGACAGTTTCCGCATCGAGCCGGGGAGAGGGGGGTGGGGGGTGCAGGCTATGCGGCTGGGGTTGTGTTATAATGCGCCAAAAATGTATTAGGAAGGTTATTCGGGCTACTGTTATATACATATGTTCAGGAACTCCCTATAATGTGTCCGACATTGAATGGAAATAATGTTTAGTCAAGATATTTGGATATTTTATAGTGGATAGGACTAGTTCTTGTACTTATATTGTAATGCACCAGTTCTCAATGAACACGGATAGCAGTTTAGTAGCTTTTACAACATATATGAAGTAACAGACGTATGTACAAATTATGTCATCTGAAATTTAAAAGAAAGTCGTGTTAGTTACACTATTTATAACTTAACAACGACTGTACGGGTTTGGCTGAAAATTGGTAGAGATATAGCTTAGTTTTTAGAACAACGGAAAGGACATAGGATACTTTTCATGCGAATGAAAAAGAAAAAAACAAGTTGATGAAATCCATAATCTTCTTAAAAACTGTCTTTAATGAGGAATAAAATTCGCCCGGTCTATACATGTCTAACTTTGAAACTAATGCAGACGAAGTCGCAGGAAAAAGCTATTAATTAATAAAAGTGAACGATGTTGTCTATTACGTGACTGTATTATACATACATATATAATGTACCTGTCTTCGCTCGCTACACGTTGTATACAACACTCGGACACGTCAAAGAGACTTACAGTTAGATCGTGTGTGCAATATTGTTGTCTTTTAAAATATATATCGGCGTAAAATATATATATATATATATATATATATTGAAACTAATATATACCTGCGACTCTGTCTGCTTAGACTTTGGAATTAAATGCAGAGAGAAATGAGAAGTGTTAAAATAATAGGTATTTTAACCAAAAGCGACATACATAGTGTGATAATGACAGTCATACAAAATACAACAGTTGTTTGCATCCTGTGTGGACCATACAATATTCCTGGATAAACTAAATCCTATATGTTATTTTTATTTCTGAACTACATTATCAGAAAGTTTCATCAAAATCCATTCATAAATCCTCTCAAATACGAGTATAATTCTCTTAATGTAGAACGAGTGTGTTATACCAGATATCACTCTCAATATGATCATACGAGTTTATTATTGTTTTGTTCTCTGTATGTGGCCGTGATCAATTTGCTGTGAAAATGTTAGAAAATCACAAAACCTTACAATACAATGTAATCCTTAGTGTCTTGGTTAATATATTATTTAACTATAATTCTCTTAATTACAACAAGACTTTCTTAAACCTCCAGTTCTGTTCTGAACCGTTGGCTCCGCGCCAGATTCGCGTCGGTGTGATGCGTTCCCTCAGGTTTTAATAATAATAACTATTTATATTCGATAACACCCGGACTAATAGATAAATTATTTATTGATAGTTTTCCCATCAAACATATACGTATATATTAGTGGGCGAGTACCTATATATATGTTCTAATATAATGAATACTATTATTATATACATTCCCTATGTATTCATATTTTACGTGTATTTAATATTATTATGACGTCACTGTGTATGTATTGATCGGATGTCGTCATTGATATATTTTGTAATAAAAAAAGTTATTGATGCAAAGTTATATACGAAGTCGAATAAAAAATATAGCGGAAATAAACGGCGAAAATATATATAAGGAAACCTCAGATTGACATAAAATATTAGAATATTGAAGATAATAATTATTAGTAAAATATAATAATTATTACGAGATGGGAATTATATAGAAGATCTTGTCAAGGATATTTCTGATATGATGAATAGAGATAAATGTTGGAATATGACCAGAGAAGTCAGTTTCATAGCATTTAGTGTTGTTCCCTGAAGATTATAAAAGACTCTTCATTGATAAGAAATTCATTGTGTTCAGTTGGAAATGAAGTTCATGCTATTGAAAAATAGTTTATAACGAATGAAACATTGGAATGGAAGAGAGATGGAAATAGACTGACAGACGGTGGTTCGGGAGACGGCACTGAAATTGAGTTAGATACATACATATATAAGAGAAAACGAGGTTTAGGTCTTTATAGTTCAATTAACATAGTAACATATAGATGAAGAGTAATTGATCCTATATATGTTGTAACTTCTATGAAATATTCCCTAATGTTAGGTCTAGATAATTGTATTCACTATAAAGAATACCACATACTATCAGATGGAAATAAAGTCCAGGTGTAGGTGGGAACGTCATACAAGGATTTTGGATGGACAGAATTAGTTTATCAGAAGTGTATACACTTAATATAGTTGCTTGATGTATGTGATGGAGGAAGGATTAAGATATGTTTAAATCACTCTATTCTGGCTGCACCGCATATATCTGTTATCACTTATAACACGTGGCTTATATCCCGAGAGCACTCTACTGCTTGACGTCACCACTGTTATCAGTGACGGACACGTCAGATGAGTGAGAGGAAGGCACTCAATAATAGAACAGCATTAACACCATCAGCTGTAAAATCGTCAGAACGTAATAACTCAATTCATAGCTGTGAAGAAACTAAAGTCTTAGTAAAATCAATAAGACAGTGTAGTCAAGTGTACGGGAAACCGTACAAGGGTTGGTGTCTGATACTGTGATGGAGTTACGAATATATGACCTTCATTATGTGACTTAAATATCGAACTATACAGGTTAATGACAGACATTCATTTAATGATTATTCTGCTTGTACTAAACTGGTACATAATACTAGCTACATTTTTATGTATGGAGCTAGTTCGTTCAGACACAGAAGCTCCTGAGAGATCATAACCCATTATACATCATGTTATATTACAATACTCGTGGGTGGAGCGAGCTAACATAACATTACCGTACACGTTGCCGCCTGTTTGTTCAGAATGACAAACGTTTTGCTAACATTATGTGCCTCCAGCTGGGTGTATGGGAGTGGAGTGACGTCATCACCTCACTCCCATGGAGGGAAGAGGGGGGTAGGGTGGAGTATACTGTATGAAGACTTTTGATCAAGTTAGGTACATACATATTAATTCGTTAGTATCGTGTAGTCTTCATTATAATGTATAGTTGTAAGTCGTCATTACCCTAGTAGTAGTAGTTTAGTAGTTGTGGTAGGTGCGGTCAGTCAACACAGTCACGGTCCTGTGTAAGTAGAATGTTCTCACTGACCGGGTCAGCATTTATGACCTTATATGTACATGAGACGAGTTTGTTCCATGAGGTATATGTTCATGTATTATACAGCCACTTTCAATACCACATCGTAATTTTTTAAAAGATCTTTACACTCACTGGTCGGAATATAGGGGAGAGTCGGATATATCGTACCACTTTTCACTTTAACTCAAATATTTCGACTATAACACGTCTTATAATAATAAATACATGTGTAAAATAAAGTTTCATATTTAAGCTTTCTAAGAAGAAGAAAACAGATCCTTGCGATTATTCTAACATTGTTAAAAATGCTTTTTTATAGAGGCTTGCCATCGGTACGATTTAGCCGACTAGTCGTTTTAATCGTACCACTAAGTCTTTAAATCGTACCATGGGTGTTTAAGTCGTACCACTGAATGAAAGACATTAAAATTCTCAATCAAATTATTTATTTTTAACTGTTAGGTAAGTAATAAAACAACATTATTTATATCTTTTAGGTAATAGAAATATAATTTTTAACTCTTAGGTTATATAAAGGAACTATAAGCTTTCTTAGTAAAATAACATGATTATACTATGATAATGAGATCAATCAACATACCTAATAGAAATGAGACAAAAAAAACAGTAAACTATAATAATAAAGTAACAGTTAACAAGAGTGTTATTTGTAATATTATTATTGTGCATATTTCTTAATGGAAATAATCATGACAAATGCCTGGATTCGAAGTACACGTCTCATGTAGCCACCGTTTACAGCGAACGCATTGAACCGAATCATCTTTTGGACCCTTCTTATCGTAGTAAGAACAATTGCACATTCGACATATATTTTCAAGATAATCGTCGCTGTCATCATCATCATCTAGTTCTACAACAAGTGTTTCTCCTGAATCATCGCTACTGGTGATGGAATGAGATCGTTTCCTCTTATAACTTTTGTTCTTGGCCTTGGGTAGTATCGTAGTACTTACTATACATACTTGCGGTAGTACTATAGGTACTTGCGGTTGGTAGTCGGGTAAATCGTACCTTTAGGTACAATTTAACCAACTGCAAGCGGTACGATTAAACCAACTAAGGCATTTCTAAAACAAAAGCAAATATCCGGCATAAACTCAAAACTTAGACACCGAACAAAAACCCTCAATAATCTAGTATACAATTATGAATAATAAAAAAAAACTGAATAACTATAGCTTATCTTGATTACGAGCTATCTCCTTACGAATGTACGACAATATTTATATTAATTCCTTCAAAAAATGTTTTTCTTTTATTACGTGCACAGTTGTTAACTCACGTCGATTTAATCTAGTGGGTGAAGAGGGATGTTACAGGGTCACGATTTGGATTTGTCAGTGTAGAAAAAAATATTCATTAAATGGGAAATTTAGAAGTGGTACGATTTAAATGCTAGTACGGTATAACCAACTCTCCCCTATAAATTGCTTTCGTATTCCATTGCTAGCAACAATATCTTATGCTTTTAGTATTATCCTGCAATCGTTTGGACAATTAGATGATAATATATCATTTCATTATTATTAAAAGCTATCATTAAATAAATTACTAGATAATTTTGTATAGTAAAAAAAATGTCACTTAAAAACCATGCATGCTGGAGGTATGAATGGATTTTTGTCCCGCAACTTACAAAATACATTTAAATAGCCCCCTAAATATTGAATTTCAAAATCATATGACATAAGACTAAATAAAATTGTGATTTTTGCTGTCGATACTTAAATTGCCTGAAAAAAAATCTGTCAACAGAAGTTGTGTGTCATTATAAATAGAAATAGTTTACAATATTTCCCATAACGTAAATAAAAATCTAACTTCAGGCTATACGTAAAGTGGGTACATTTTTTAGTTACTTTTAGCACTTGATACCTGAGCTGTGACCATCGATATACGCGAACAAATATGTTTACGTTTAATGTACACACTAATACTAAACTATTATAACTGTTTTTCTTCAGAAAATAAGTGAGTTTTAAGTAAAAAATTAACTGCACTACTACCTGAACCTAGAGAAAAAATATTATATACTTAACTAGTTCCACTATTTGTAAATGAACTATAGAACGTGTGCAAAAACAAGAATATGTATTAAAGCTATCATGTAAATAATTAAAATATTACGTCTTCCCAACAATAAATACAGTACTACAATCAAATGAGACTCAATTTTTTTTTTATCAAACTGGTGATGATGTTTCATGATGAGTCGATAATGAGAACTATTCTATTGTAAATGAACACAGCTATGAAAGGTAGTGTTTAGAGTTGTATGAAAGAACATTGTGTCGACTTTCGGCTTTTGACTGTCGAGTGTTGAGTTCCGAGTCTAGTTTGCTTTAGAGTTATGAATTCAAATTGATTTTGTTGAGAGTTGTTTTTACTTGGAGTTAAAAGTATTGTAGATATTTCTTTTAGTTATATTGTAGTTAAAGGTTTTATTACCATATTTTTAAATTCTTTTGGAGTAACGTATAATTCTTTTACAATAAATCAAAAAACAAAAATAAGTCTTAGTACATTTTCAATAGGTAGTGACTTCACAATGTAACAACTCGATTACATGAAAAACTTAAATTATTTTTAGTTACTGCTTTTTAAATCACACCTATTCTAACGAACACACTTTTTTGTTTCTAAAAATTACAGAAACGATTATAGGTATCCAGTTTTTGATAAAAACTACGCAGATTTCCAAATAGTTGTTACTCTATATAAAGATTGTTAACTAGGAATCTTAGAATAGTTGATAGTCAATTATAAGGTAATGTAAAGTTCTCATTATACTGGTCACAGTTTGTATGTATGTATGTTATTGATGTTACAGACAATGTATGGTCCACAGTTTAACGTCACACTCGTGTTTGACGGACAAACACAATAACGACTCACTAATTAATACCCTCATTAAACGTACGAGTATGTATGTATGTGGCTTATAATGACACCTTATTCTGTTCAATGTATTTGTTGTGTTGTATATTAAGATCTATCCCTTGAATATACACACATAGACACAAACACACACACATACAGAGTAAATTAAAAAACATTACGTTAATACAAAATAACAACTTTATACATTAATTTACCTATCTTTTAATTTTCGCATATCTTTTTCATGTTTTTTTTGTTACAAAACAAACTTTCTCCGTGCGATATTTCTAAACTAGGCGCCTTCATTTTTATCAAACATATTGTTCCATTTCATTAGTCAATGATCTGTCGCGGTTCAACGCGGACGTTCATTCATTAAAATGTTAATATATATAAATATATGTAATGTTACGTATTTTTTGTTGTATAATTAAGATATTGTGTTAAGTTTGAGTGTGTATAATATACTAGCTTTCCGCCCGCAGCTTCGCCCGCGTGGAGTTTGGTTATATCGCGTTTCCAAGAGAACCTTTCAAAAGTTTGCGATAAAAACTATCCTATGTTCTTTCTCAAGGTCAACCCTATGTCTGTACCAAATGTCATTAAAATCAGTTCAGTGCTTTAGGGGTGAAAGCGTAACAGACAGACAGAGTTCCTTTCGCAGTTATAATATTAGTAGGGATTTTAGTACGTTACCTATGTAGTTATTCTTAAAATCCCTACAGAACATTACCTTGGCTCACTGTACATATATTTAAGACTATGAGTTTCAACATTAGCAATATTTATTGTTCTACTTTAGTGTATCTTTTAATGGATTAATTTTAAATATTTTCTTATAAATTAAAAAATGTGTGAATTGAAGGAAGAGATACAGTGGTGTTTTGTTTTGTTAATGTGATTAGTGAAGTGATTAAACGATGTTTGTTTGTTTATCACTCGCTAGCTACTGACATATTAATTTGAAAGTATTTATATTGAAATGTTTGAACAATGTGTTGTATGGAAACGCGATGGTACAGTGGATGATAGGGCCTTAAATAAGAAAAGGTCCCAGGTTCGAGTAATGAATATAGAACGATAGTTTTAAATCTTCATCTCATCTCTGCTAACCATATTATGACCTTACAGTTACGGAACTTAACAATATTAATTAGCATGACGGTAAGGCTGTAATTATATACAACATACTATGAGCCGTATATAGAATGAATTATGTGTTGCCTTTCAAAGTATATAACGTTTTTTTTCTCGTATGTGTTTATCATATAATGTATATAGTGTATCATTCGCAATCCCCGCATCACACCGGCTCATAGATATTTTAACGTGAACGCAAAACTACCGAAATAATTTTATGCGCCATCAATAAATACAGAGTAAACCGTGTGTCAGAAATCAGAACGTAGGATTTATGTTGATGTTTAAGATATATTATCTGGTACGGTTTAGAATACTTTTATCTCGCTACCAAAATAATGTGACCCCCAGATATAATAACATTGATATATTTTATGTCCGCAATAGAGATCACATAGTCAACCTAACGACGTTTATTTATAAAGACGAGTTTGTCTTATGATGTTGATGTGTTATAAGTGAAGTGAAGTAATCTGAAGTGAAGTGAAGTTTACAATGTCATCTCAAGCGCCACCTCGCGTGTCTCGGAATGTGTCTCTGCCAGCTGGTCGCCAGCCTCCGGCAGTGGGGGCGCTAGCTAGGAGGACCATGTCCGAGAGGTATGACCCTAATCACAAGGATCACATTGACCCGTGTGACCTATATGTGACCCGTGTGAACAGGAGATCACGTCTTCGCTGACTCTTCGTGAGATTTGCGATGTGTTCGTATTAAAACCGCTCTACATAGTTTGAGGATAGTCTTATATATTTAATATTTGTTGTAACATCAGTTACTAATATGAAGAGTCATGTCATATTGCTCTAAGTGTGTTCCCCGAGCTATACCCGTGTTATCTTGACTACATAACTCTGTAGACGATTATGATAAACGCTCATTACCCGGACTCACTCAACTCCCTGTCATATTTATGTAACACAAGCTACATCCCGCGGCTTCGCTCGTCTACATCCTATACGAACATATATAAGTTATAATATACTTAGATGCACAACTACATCGACTATACATTACATATATCTCTTCTAGTTATAATATTCCTTGTATAATTTCAGTATTACATATTAATCTACTTTGTGAATAATAAAGTTTTAATAGTTTCCTAACAGCCGTCCAAGGTCATCTTCGTCATTTCCCACTAACTGTATATAATTTGCACTGAAATTTTCCCCCCGAAGTGCTCGTAAAGTAATTAAAATGTTAACGATCCTCTCCGGACACAGTTAAATATAAATATGTAGGGTAATGTGATCATGTTTGAACATTACTCCTCGCTGTTGATGATACAGATTACATTGAAATTAATTTGTATTCAATCACTTTCTAAGCATTATGTCCTAGGACGTCCTTATACACATCTTATATTTTAGTACACATTTTTGTAGTCTAAATTATTTAAGCTCGCTAACATTCTGAACAATTATAGATTTAAAATATATCTGTTATTTTTTAACCATGAATGTTTTAATAATTATCTCTAGTTATTTGGAGTGCGTTTAAAATTTACAATAATATTACAGTCATTGATGCTCTCGTAGTATTTAAGTGGTGTCTCAAAAGTCCTGAATGCTCAGAACGCTCAGGTTACTCAGTAGCTCCAAGTGCCTGTACATTCGGACACGCGTACGATCGTTTTAATAATAGTTGAGTCGTTCGTTACAACTTCCTCCGCTTGTTTTGCTTCCAGCTTCCTCCGACCTTTAGGTCGACGTCTGCTCCTGTTTATTGTTATGGGTTTTGTAATACCGATGCATTCGGAATTAGATTAGTACGATATATAAATAGGCGAGCGTCGAGGAAACACGAAGATAGTAAGGGCTCGCGTGTACGGTTAGAGGAATTTTAATGATTGGTGAATTGATCAACTAATTATAATATTTTTATTTAAGTCATCTATATATGTTACATTTTAAACTCCACTTTAGTTTTGTTAAGATGTCTGAAATACTGTATTGAAGTATTTTAATAATTATTTTGTATTTATCGACGGATAAACCGATATATCTGTCTATAATCATGTAACTTTAATGTCATATATCTTAAATCCTTATGTATACTTACAGTGACTTGGAGCCAGGCGCGCCGACAGCTCCTTCAGGCAGTTCGAGTAGTTCAAGTCTATCTTCTAGGAGTAATGAGAGCAACACCGTGGCCGCTGAACAACAAGGTATGGATAGATGGAACTAATATTTACGGATTTTACTTCGCGTTTTTATTTTTCATTATTCACTATATACTCCCGACGTTTCGACTACTTTTCAGCAACCGTGATCACGGGCAGACAAAAACAAAAACGCGAAGTAAAATCTCAAAATATTAGTTTCATTTAAATGAGTACTCGCGAAAATCTTAGATCTCATTATGTTATGGATAGATGGCGCTAGCTGTTACACTTTGTTACTAAGAATATATGTTCTAGCAATCAACGGTATAAAGTTATCTGGAGTAATTTCTTCATAACAAGTTTTTTTTACATAATCTTTATGGGAATTTAAAACATCCAAATTAGAGTAAAATTTTAGACCTAGGTTCAAGGTTTCGCATATCACTTTGTCTCTTATAGATTTTGTAATGTTTGCCGTTTTTGGAAATGTTAAGTGTAAAAAACAAAAAATATATCGACAATCCATCAGCGCCATCTAGAGTATATCTCACGAGACTTACTACACTATAAAACTATCATGCCTTGATTAAGGAAGTACTCTAAATTCCGTAATAATTTATAGTCCACATGTTAATTGTGGTCTGAGTTTATTTCTTTAAAATTTCATCATTATTAACTAGTTTTTTGCATGATAGATAGTCATACATCCTACCTCCACACAACACTAGATTCATCTCGTTTTCTCCTCTCGTTAACTCTCTCTCTCTCTCTCCGTGGGTCCCCCTACAGCCTCCCAGTCTGACTGGTCGGAGGAGGAGGACCCGCTGGCCGCCCAGTGGTCGGACAGTCTGCCGCCCGCACTCAGGGACTCGCTGGTGCTCTCCGCGAGGATAAGGAAGAGGCAGGAAGTCATACATGGTGAGAACAAAACATATACATATATATATGATGACTGGATTTAGTCTAACATTTGGACCCTTTTAGGGACTCACTGAAAACATTTCGTTAATAATTTTTGTTCAGCGATAATTAAATACATAATTTTTATATAAACAAAAATAGGTAACGATCTAATTTTTAATATAATGAACCACCTGTAACCTAATTTTTATATATAGATATTTTAATAATTTTTACCAATAACTTAATACGTTTTTAATATAATGTAATTAATGATTTATAAACTTCCTAATATTTGTGCTGTATCTGTCTTAAAAGATAATGCATTTAGAATTAAGCAACACTGTATTCCTTTTTACCCAATATTGTATTAATGTAATTATCACTGGTTAATCTTAAATAAATAAAAAATCTATCTTATTTACAAAACCCAAACATACTTGAGTTTTTTTGTCTTGTGTCTGTTTCAAATTATTCTAAATCATTGTCTAATTTGTTTCCAGAACTGATAGTATCTGAAGGGTCTCACGTGCGGTGGTTGAAGGTCCTTGGGGTGGACTTCCTCAAGCCGTTAGAGCGTCAACCGTCCCTCCTGCCCGCGGAGGAGTTGCGGGCTCTGTTCCCCAACCTGCCCGGCGTCAGGGAGAGACACAACAAGTTGTACGCGGACCTGAGGGCCGTGAGGAATGAAGCTACCAACCACGTGGTGCAGATAGGACCTGTAGCTGACGCTATGATGAATACTGTTAGTATAATATACTGAGCGTTTAGTAGTAGACTGTTTAGTTGGGATTTTATTGTTCTTAGGTTTTATAACTGATAAATATATAAATATTATATACGACAGAACTAGAATAATAACAAAGGAAATTAGGAGCACAATAAAATACGTCCACTCAGTCTAAAGTTTAATCGGTGACAAAGCCACATGCGAATACCTTAAAACTTATATACAATTACTTATAATAAATCTACCCCACATATATCACAATAACCTGTTATTATTCAGATCTAACGTTACTATTCTGCGCTTAAGCAAATTAATGACTTATATATGTATAAGTTAACTACTATATAAAAATTAATCCAATCAGACATATATTATATGATTCTAATCCTTATACACACCATCACATTATAATAGTTGAATGTATAATAATTTTTTCAGCTGGGTGAGGCGGGCTATGCTCCGTGTTTGTCAAAGTTCTGTCGAGGTCAGCGGATGGCCCTTGATTCCTTGAGGGAGAGGAGGAGGAAGAACAAGGAGTTACAGGCCTTCCTCGCGGGGAGGGAACAGCTGCCACGGTGTGGACGACTACAGCTGAGGGATCTACTGGCCTGTGTGTGGCAGAGGTGCGCTACTACTAATTTATTTATTATTATTTATTTATATAATACATTGCAAATTTCTTTTACGGTATCACAAAATCCCTGTCGGGTTTATTCGTATCCGCATTCAGAGCACTCGGAACTTTAAGTACATAAATATACTACCTATAACACTATAAACTACATGAGATTTTGAATAAATGTTTGTTTAATTATAACTCATATGTGAGGGTATACGTTAAAAGATTTTTTAATTATGTTAATAATACAATAGGTACTTACGATGCACTACTCGGCCGGTCGGTCATTAAAGCCATTAAAGTTATGCGATAATGCATTTGAAAGAAATAACTTGTAAATAGTGTAAATACAGGATGATTCGTTTCCCTTTATGAGAAATTAGTATACTACTCGTGACGTCACTGTAGTATACAACAAGGGCGGAATACTCAGCAATAATCCCAAGCACACACACTTTTCTAGTTATTTTATAAAATTGTTTACACTGCTTAATAGGATATTACTATAAATCTGTGTAACAAAATCATTGTTGAGTTTCTAGTTGTCTTGGTGGTTGAGCGGGTCACCCAGTAATACGGGTTTGCACCTAGTGCAGGGGCCCTTGTAACTTGATTGTTATGTTATCTTTGAGTCAATAAAGTTTATATTCAATAAACATTAATATCCCTAGACTGACGAAATACCAGCTGTTGTTGGAGAGTATACTCAGAACAGCTGTTGAGTGTGATGATGAGGACGGAGACAGTCCGGAGGAGGTGGCCAGGTTGAGGAGCGCGCTCACTGTGGCCAAGGACGTGCTGCACAGTGTGGACACGGCCATACGGACCGCTGAGAACGAACACAGGTGGGAGGGGGTGGGGAATGTGCTTAGTAGAGATGTAACATGTTTGGTCGAATATCGGATACAGGATATTCGGCCTGGCAACCAGCCAAATATTCGGTATCTGGTCGTAGAATATTTGGCTGGTGGTATACTACCTACATTTTGAATATGGTACATTACTGTCCAGTATCCGGCCGGATAGTAAAAAAGGGCCGGATAAGACGGATACCGGATATTAATGAATGTACGGTACATCTCTTGTTCTTAGTTCTACTTCACTGAGATTAAAAGACTTGTTGAAATAGTGACAATTCAGTCCACAGTGTCTGTTTACTAGTCAATTATTGGGAGTAAGAGATAGGATAGGTGGAATGTAGTATGATTTATTTATTTATGTGTAAGTAAGTGAAAAAAACAACATATTTTATATTACATAAAACTTATAAACCTTAAATAACCCACATGACAATACAGTATCCACAAATAATTAATCTGGAAGTGAACATATACAGGGTGACTGGTGAATTACTATCAATATTTAAGGAGAATACTCGGTACACGATTCTCATTCGAATTATGTAAAAAAAATAGGCACTTAATTTTTGTCAAAATTTCCGTATAAATAAATAAAGTGTTGACACGTTCCAAGTGTTCCAAGTGTAGACGCGTGCGGCGGCGTGCTGATACAACACATCGCCGCTGCACGCGTATGTGTGTGTGTGTGCGTATACCTAATCTGTAGGGTGTTCACACGATGCGTAATTAATTACATAACTTTTGGTTAACTTTACTCTGAAGTTTATTAATATTTATGTTATATTAATTTTTATTTTGTCATGTATGATCGTCAAATATCAGGTCCTCAAATATCGATAGTAATTCACCAGTCACCCTGTATATAAAAGAGATAAAACAGTAAAATTAAATGTATGGTAATTAAAAAAAAAACTAAAAGTGTAAAAATGTATATAAACTAAACTTATATCATGTGAACTATGAAAAAGAAAAAAAATAGTTAATAACAAATTTTAATCTCATTATTTTTAAGTATCGAGTTAAACTTACCGAGACCGCTTGCTGAACAAGTCTATGTGGTTATATTTATCGTTATAGTTGCCACACGATCTTACTATTTTTGTAATAATTTGTTTTATGATTTGGATTTGCTAAAATGGCTTTGTATCGAGCACTTAAGCGAGGACACTTAAATAATATTTTATTAGGAGATAAGGCGAATCTATAAAGCTGTTAATAATTTTAAATAGAAACAATTGGTCTCTATATTCTCGTCTAGTTTTCAAGGACAGTAGAGTAGGCAAATCGTGACCAAACTTATATTTTAATGTTTTAAGAAATTTAATTTGAATTGTTTCGATTGCTTGAATATGATGAATCATTGTAAGTACATATATGTGTGTGTCCGTGTGTTCCAGACTGCGCGTGATCCAGTCCAAGCTGGAGGTGCGCGTGGGCGTGGCGGGCGCGGAGTGCGAGGAGCTGCGTCGCCTGGAGCTGCCTCAGCACCGCCTGCTGCACGAGGGCGAGCTGTTCCTGCGCACGGACTCCAAGCGCTCGGCCGTGCTGGCGCTGCTGCTGGCCGACTGCCTCGTGCTGCTGCAGCGGGAGGGCGACAAGTTCGTGCTCAAGCCGGTGGCGCAGCCCAGCCACGCGGCCATGCTGTCGCCGCTCATTAAATGGTCCGTTACATACCGAGAAATACTAGTGTAAAGTATCGTTGAATAGTTCTAAAGTAATATGTACTTTATGTGACAGGGAGAGAGTCCTGTTTCGCCCGAACGCCGCCGTCAAGAACACGTTCTTCCTCATGAATATCAACGGTATTCAGATGCACGAGCTGTCTGCTAACACGGCCGCCGAGTACGCCACGTGAGTGAGACACTGACATGTGTATATACATACTTGTTATTGTGCTTAGAGAAACCAACAACAAGTAACTAGTATAATATAAATGTTAACCGACAGTCAGCGACATCTATCGTGTGTGTCACGTGACTACTCACTACATAAATCTGCTATGACGTGTTGTATAAACTACACGTGACGGGGGATACATTATATCCTGAGTGTTATTGTATAATATGTATCAACTACATCATCAGAGTTTCATCCAAATCCGTTAAATATACATATTTTACTGCAACGCGTAACAAACTTGTATACATTCTCACACACTTTCGTGCTTTATTATTATTGAAATAAACTTGTGGCATCAATCAATTGAGATATATATATAGGAACCAGGTTCATCAGCGGAGTCTTGCTCATAATAAATTGAAACAAATTAATTTTGTCATCTTTAATCAGTCTTTCATTAAATTCCGGTTCATAATTATATGATATCGATATAAAAAAGAAATTGAATTAATAGAAACGTATTAAATTGAAAATTGAAGTGAATACGTCTCCATAAGAAAAAATATATATAATTTAATTTTTTATTTTAACTAAAGAGCTCTGTTGAACTTATCGTCATTTTAATGAGTCTGTATCATGTATGGAAAAATTGTTTTTACTCTGCCGAAATAATTTATTGTTATATAAGCTGTATGTTTTCCCATAAATAAATAAATAAATGTATAATCCAGTTCATATTGTTTGTTATTTAGCTGGGTGAAGTTGATCCAAGAGGCGCCCCTCGCGCGCCTGGCAGAGACCAAGCCCATCGCCTCTCACGGACACTCACGATCTACAGACGACTCCGGTAAATAACTTATACTACTGATCATAATACACTTATAATACACCTACACCAAGTATACAGACGACAAAATGATTTAAATTAGTATGTTGAGTAGTACATAAAGTATGTTGTATTATGTCATACACATATAAAGTCGGAGAACCGAGTTATAAACAAAATTATTTGTACAGAATGAGTTTACAATTGGATGGATGGAGATGAAAAATTTAATCAATATTTACATCTAAGATGATCCATACAAAAATTTATATGTAATTTCTTGTGAAAAATTCATCAAATTCAATTAAAGGTATAAATGTATCGCGGAACCCTTCGGACGCTTCGGAGAAGTCGACGTCCAGCGCCCCGCCCATGTGTGAGAGCGAGAGGGATGTATCTATAGAGAGAGACGACAAACACGAGGAGAAGAACACGGACACGGAGGAGGGGTCGGAGAAGAGGGGGGAGGAGGGACACGCCCACCGGGAGGAGAGGAACAGGTAGGGAGTATGAATATATGAATAACATATATGAATTAACACAGTGTTTGATATGAAAAAAAAAATACCCATACTTTAAATACGCCTCTGATGTGATAACTGTTTTGTATGTTATTACTTGCAGTCTATTGGTGATGTGTATTGAAAATAACAAGATTAATAATTTGAGATATGTTAATGAAATCTTTCAAATACAAATATAATGATGATTGCGACAATCTGTTCAAATGTTTTAATATATTAATCAATCATTCCTCGGCTCGCCCGCTGTTGTGTATGTATGTAAGTGTCACTCGTCTGTTACATTCATATCAAACACTCTAATTGTTTGTATTTAATTATATTAACTTATTGTATGCATTAAACTCCGTAGAATATGTATCGTGCTAAGTAGCTAAACTGAATGACGTAATCTAATACAACAAAGTTATCTGAACCTGCGCTATAGTCATCATATTATATTTAAGTAAAACTAATACTTTTCGGATAATACTACGTGATCACGATTGCTGAAAAGTAATCGAAGCGCTAGAATTTTATTATTTTTATTTTTCAGAATAAAGTCGTTTAGTATAATCCGAAAAATAATAGTTTCTAAAATTAATCAAACTTACGATAATGTTAGATCTCATTATAATATTATTATATGTATGTAGTGTACCGTCGGTGGGTAGTAACTCCATCCACTCGTTCTCTCCGTCCACGCTGGAGTCCTCCGCCGCGCTGGTAGTGACGCCGCCTGCGCACGCGCACCACGCGACTAGGGTCTACTCACACCACGGTACGTACACACACGGACATACACACAGACACACACTTAAAGCATCAGACTGGATTGAAATTATATTCGTATATTTATTTACTGTTACCGCATTATTATCGATATATTATAGTGCGTTTGATTTAAGTTGAGCGTTGTATTAGTGTGTGCACACGGATAGTGTACGTGTGATGTCAAATTTTTGAATGCAACGTTCTTCCCTAGTTTTGAACCGGTTTATTCTGTTTTTACTCCGCCCCGCATCTTCCTCACTTCACCTTTTGTACTGGTAGCAAAATCAAATGTGAAATGAATAATAATTTGTATAGTTTTTTAAAAATTTTTAATAATCAATATTTTTTTTTCATAATCTTCAAAATATTATCATTTGGCCTTTTACAAGTTTTGCTTATTTTATAGCCTATCTATTTAAAATATAATAATGTTTTTTGTTTAACTCTACTTTTACTTTCACTCACACAAATGCAAAGCTCAGCTTAAGTCTAACGGACTGTACAAGGTAACTTATTCCACGCGACAACCTCGTATCAACCTTGTCCCGGGCGCTACCTGTATAAACCTTAGTAAACTAATAGTTAATAATTATTTTACAGAGAGGCTCCGTCGCCTGGACGAGGTGATCAGCCGCACGTTGAAGGCCAAGAGCGCCGTGGTCGCCGCGCTGTTGGGGATACCCGACCACAACTACACGCACCTGGCCGAGCTGGCCGTGGCTGAGACCATGGGGCAAGTGGGTGAGTACAGGGGGGGGGGGGGTGATGACGTCACACGTTACATGTAGCCTCGCATAGTAGACGAACATTAGTGAAGTATATATATATTTTTTAATTTATTTACTTTTTTGTATAAACATTAACAAATAATATCTTGCCAAACTCGAGAGTTTGTAGGCAAGAATCGCTCATTAAACAATTATTAACCTATTTTTTACTTATAAAACATTCTAACATTAATATACTACTTTACTAACAATTATGATTTTAAATGAAAATATTTAAAACAAGTAATAAAATACTAAATAACTTAAAAATAATTACTTATATCAACAATTTGGTTTTAAACAATGTAAAATATCGTAAAATAATAACAAATAAATACGTAAAACCTTAAAACTATTACAACTGAATAAATATATACAAGCAGAAATACAGTAAAAGCGAAAACAAAGAAAAAATAAATGAAAAAAAAAAAACAAAACTTAAAACTATTTACAACAGATTTATCTATTCCAATATCTTATCTAATTCTTTAACTCCTCGGGAGTCGCGCCCCATGTACCAACACTGACTATCGCTACTGGGTAAAAAATACCACAATAATATTAATGTAAGAACTAGAGTTATTTTATGGATATTTAAATATAACCAAATTTTACATTATATTGTGTTACATTTTCAATTAAACAAGATAGTTGGAAACAGTGGCGGCTGGTGGGTTATTGAACTGGTGGTTCACTTTACTAAAATATTGACAAAAACAACAATTGACATAAAATATGTTTATTTTTTGTACATTAATTCATAACTATATCCAACTCTGATACAAAGTCTATTAATCCACGAAACACTCCAGCATTACTGGACTCAATAGTTTCATCGTGACCTCGCAAAGCTAACTCAAATGCACCACAAAACTTGACACAATCGATAAGACGTGATAAAATGTATCTGTTTTTATCAACTTGTTTATTATACTTTTGGATATTATGTACTTCTATACACAGAATCTAGCTGATTACGAATATCGACTGTGCCTAACACAGACAAACTCATTACATTTTGTAGGTGTATTTGTGAAGAATCGTGTTTTTTTTATTTTTTCACTTAAATGCGTCAAATCCTTGATTCCAGTTTCTGTCCAAATCGATTCTCCGCCAAAAATAATGCAAGGAAAACAAAAGAATGCATTAAGACGCTCACATCCACACAACCATTTCTTTCTATTATACATTTCACTTTTAAAACTTCGTATAAATGCTTTATTTTTCGATTTACACTCTTGTTTTAAATTTAAAAAGGGCCGTGGCGGCCCGGCCAATTTTATGTTCACTTTACTTTGAAAAATTTTGTTATTTTCTTTAAAATAATCAATATTTATACTCATTTTCAACTAATAAAAAACACAGTACAGAATAAAAGTTCTATTATAGAAACGAAATAAAAACTAAAACGAATTACGGAAATAATTATAAACAATAACGAATTAACGCGTCACGCATACAGTGAAAGTTGAAACAATACCAATAACGATTAACGAAATGTCAATCATAGCACCCATCCTTTCGGCCGGCCCCTTGCCGGCCGGCTCAATACGTCATACATCGGGTGCTCTCGGTAACCTTCGGCCGCTTCGTGCGGCGCTCGAGAACCGACTCGTTACTCGGTACATTTCTATGAACTATCTTTTGTCTCACGCGTCAGGCGTATTAATGCGTGTCTCATACAAGATGTATTAGCAGTCCTCGTGCGCTCGCCGGAGCGCACGATATGAGTTTAGTAAAGCGCTCAAACTTTTTGACCATAATTGGAAATTAAATTTTTTATACCTTTTTGTATGTTTAAAAAATAAATATTAAAATGGTAATTTAAAAATTAAGATGACATAATATTTTGTAATTTTTAAATATTTTGAATTGGTGGTTCAGCGCACGGGCGCACTTAAGGTACAGCCGCCACTGGTTGGAAACTAATAACGCTTGGTTTCGGTTAACAGCCAGGAATAGTGATCGAATCTATATTATTTGTTTATTTTTATTTTTCATTATTTTTCATTTGTAAGTGTGTTGTGTTACGTATTTTTGAGTGCTGATGTGTTTTTTTTTTCTTTTTTTATAAGTGAGATACTTTGTATATAATCTGTGTTCGCATAATTGTTGGATTGCAACTCAGTTCATTTATAATGTTTGCTCATTAATTATTCGCATATTTAGTTGTAATCTGTTGTGTGAACCGTTCAAAATAAATAAATAAATATGTAATATTTGACATTTTAAAACATAGCCCAAAAGATCAGCCATTTTGTGCTCAAAACGAAATATTTGCGAGTGTGGCTGGAGGGCTCTTTCCTGTTGTATTATAATATTATTTTTTGCTCGCCATTACCACCAAGTAAAAGTATTATTTTACTTTTCATAAATGTATGTAGGCAGGTTTAAGATTGTAGATTTACACTTAATTTGTGGCAATACAAGAGACACAGCCAACACCTTCAAGTAATCTCACGATTTTCTTTATTAATCGAACCGTCGAACATCTCTCGAAAGGTATCTAAAACGGCGCTGCACAAAATACTTACAAAAATAAATATTTTCGAAAGTATGCACTATGTGGTAAAATTACCCGGTAGCACCTCCCGCCGAGTTAAGGTAAAACTCTCTAAGTTTTAACTTTAATAAAATAGTTTGCTGACGTCTTCAGTCAGTGTGAGGCTGTTAATGCTATTAAACATTTTTGGTACCATACACCTTGTTGTTCTACTCCCGTAATAATTTTTCGCAATTGGCTCAACAAATGTTTTTTCCCAACCCTCCTAATGTTGTACTTATTGTCCCTATTTTCCCTATATTTATCTATATTAAAATATAAACATCGATGCCTATCAAATATTAATATCGATCGATAAATATAAATATCGATGCCTATCAAATATTTCACTTTAATGTCTACTGGTAGTATCTTACAAATTGCAAATAATTTTTCATAGTCCCCACGACATTCTTTTTTAATATTTTTAGTAACTAGATATTTGATTAAACGTATTTGCAATTGTTTTATGTCCCTTAAGTATGTTATGAATGTACGTCCATACACACTAAGTCCGTAACTGAGTATGGAGTCAGCGAGGGTGTAGTATACAACGCGTAAAGTTTCTTTATTTAATACTTTACTCAAATGGTAGAATTTTCCCAGGACACATCTTAGCCTATTGCAAATATCTATAACCTGCGATTTCCAATTAAAATTTTTATCAATTTTTAGACCTAGGTACTTTAATGTACTAACATATTCTAATTTTTTGCAATTACAGTTTATCCTTTTATTGTCATGTAGACAGTCATAGGTATGCCCTATTATTTCGAGATCTTCTTTAGTTACTGTTTTTGATCTTTTGTTATAAGGCGAGTGTATATACATGCATTTGGTTTTTTCAAAGTTTATGATTATTCCATTATCATGTGCCCATTTAGTGATGTTTTCAAAATCAGCTTGTATGTATTTTTGTACAACAGATATATCTTCTGGGGCATATGTCAAACACATGTCATCTGCATACATGTACACCCGACACTTATTTACAACGTTAGATACTCTATTTACGTGCATTAAGTACCTCACCGGTTACTTAATGCACCGGTTATTTTTGCACTTGAATTATAAGGAATGTAATTGTATTCCAGATATATGCGGGGAGCTGCCGGCGCCGAGAGACGCCGAGCCCAGCGCCGACCTGCACACGTTACTACTGGCCGCCCAGACACAAGGTGACTAATACTAGATACACGACGCTTTAACGGTGACGTTATGTATACATCAATATCCGTGGGGTCGAGCGGAGATTTCGTATTAATACCTGGAAAATACTTGTAAATCTCATCTGCGTGTTATATGATGCTTAATTAATATGGAATTAAAACTATACAGTTTGAGGGAGCGAAACTATACAATGGCTTGCCTGACGAAGTTTTAGATGAAAAAACGTTTGGGATTTTAGAAAGAAATTATTGGGTTATTGTAGAGAGCACTTGGATTAACCGCTCTTGAGTTGTATGGCTCGTTGCTACTGTACTGAATTGTTGTTTGAATTGAACTATGTAATACATCTCATTCAAGTGAACACTGTTCTTTATGAGAAAATAAAGTTCTTTAACCACAATTATAGTATGCTTCATACATCGACCGCTGCCTGTTGAGTCACGGTAGCTTATATAGTGAAGCAACTGAAACGACATCCCGGAGATTGCGGATTTGAATCCTGTTTGAATTATATTTGATCAGCTTCCAAGTTCAATGACCCCTCTGTTCTCAATCTCTTGTTAACTGTTCGTCGTTCTTATTCCAGCTAACCAACTGTCGGAGTGTCTCAGCTCCGCGCTGTCATCTTCAGAGGCGGGGCTGGTGTTGGCTCGCTCCGGGCGGTGTGACTCGTGTGTGAGGAGTAACAGAGGTACGGTTTGTATTATATAACATAACTATACATATAATATATTTATAATATACTAGAAGACCCGGCGAACTTCGTATCGCTCTATAATCAAGAAACATCTTTTCATTTTTTATTTATATTTTTGGAGTTCACCTATTAAAGCCATAAATCTCCGTGCTTTGAAGTGCGACAAAATTATTGACATATTAGTTAGTTGTCAAATTCAATGTCATAAAAAAAGTTTGTATCAACGCCTACTAAATTAAAAATTAATTTAAAAAATTTTGTCCAGCGGACGAAATTGTGGATCTAAACCATTCCCAGATCCCCTTGAACACACACAATTTTTTTTATCAAAATCGGTCCAGTCGTTTGAGAGAAGTTCAGTGACATACACACTCACAGAAGAATTATATATATATATATATATATATATATATATAAAGATATCGCCTCATATACAGACAGTATAATGTAACTCGTCGTTTGTTAACAGAAGTGTCCCCGGAGCCGCAGCGTGAGGCTCGTGTGTCGTGTCGTGAGGAGCGAGACACGACACACGACACAACCGACCACCGACTAGAACATCTAATAGGTCAGTGAACTACGGTAGCTCTCATATACTACGGACACACTACGGTTTAACGTCAATGACCACTATCACTATAATTATAGCGATCATTTTTGCCGCACCCAGTGGGTGGCTACACTACAACGGTCAACGTTAATGCCCATTATCGTTCAGTTAAAACGGCGTTCAATTTATCATAGTTTATTTTCATTCAAGCAAGATGGACGTCGACAGGGCTCTATATTTCATGAGTATAAATTTATATTATTTGACTTTATTTAATTAAAAGAAAATGGAAACAAAGAAAAAGAAGATCATTGATGATATAAATGCACAAAAATCGTATATTATAAGTCTTTTTGTTTATTTATAATAAACAGAAAGACTTTCTATTTATTTCAAAAAAAATACGTTCGCTCCCGTTGCGCTCTCGACGCACACTGACTATATGTAGTGTGGCTGCTACATCACGATAATGACCGCTATATTCTCTTTGATGTACCGCCACCTGAACTATTGCCTAACGGAAAATGGCTTTGTTAAAATTATAGCGATTATGGGTGGCCATACCTATGGTTAACGTCGATTATTGATAATATTAGTGGAATTTCCCCTTAGTGTGGCCGCAGTAATACAGATCTCACCAAAAACATGCCTGTATAAAAGGGGGCCAAGTTCCAATCGGCTAATTGTTTGCCTAAAAAAGGGGTGAAATCCAATCTAATGCCAAGTTTAGATGCACTTTGAAATCGATCATAATCATCTTCATCAACAGCATGATCCACTGGTAAACATTTGCCATTCCCAAGACTCGCCACCACACCCAGTCCTCTGCCTTTCACATCCAGCCACTACCCGCCACCTTATTCACGTCAACGGTCCATCTGGCCGAAATTCACTTTACCATACACCCAACTTAAAATATGGTATAGTTGTGAAAATACGTAGGTGCTTGGTTAAAAATATCTAAAATTATAATACTTCTAAATTTGAACTTGGCAGGTTTTTGTGCTGTACGTAACACTTAATTAATTGTATCATTAATTTATTATTTAGTTATATAATTATTTATATTTATATAATTTAAATATTATATAATTTAAATAATTAAATTAACCTGCCAAGTTCAAATTTAGAAGTATTATAATTTTAGATATTTTTAACCAAGCACCTACGTATTTTCACAACTATACCATATTTTAAGTTGGGTGTATGGTAAAGTGAATTTCGGCCAGATGGACCGTTGACGTGAATAAGGTGGCGGGTAGTGGCTGGATGTGGAAGGCAGAGGACTGGGTGTGGTGGCGAGTCTTGGGAATGGCAAATGTTTACCAGTGGATCATGCTGTTGATGAAGATGATTATGATCGATTTCAAAGTGCATCTAAACTTGGCATTAGATTGGATTTCACCCCTTTTTTAGGCAAACAATTAGCCGATTGGAACTTGGCCCCCTTTTTAACAGGCATGTTTTTGGTGAGATTTCAATACTTTTTTTCAAGAAATCGTACATACAATCGTACTATACAGCCGTACAATGCATAACTTACAGCATGAAACATACAGCTACCATCTGATGGCATAGGAATTACCCTATGTGGTATATCTCCGCCAACCACCGAAAGATGTACAATTTCCATCGTTGGTAAATGAATAGTAGAAAAGAAATAGAGTGAATTTGTGCTTTTAACACACACAAGTAATCAATCAATAAGCAATATCAAAATTAATCCTTTAGCAAGTCAAATCAGTGATCCATTTAATCGTAATCGTAACCATATATACCTAAGATATCAAGACATAAGTGTAGAAAGAAATAGAAAGAAATGACCATCGATTCCTTCTCGACTTTCATTCATATATACTGCAGACAAAACAATATCGCGATTCAATTATACCGCTAGCGCCATCTATCGAAAGTAATTTATAACAATAGAAATCTGATTTTTTAGGTAAGCAATATTTAATTAAGTTATACAGTGTGCATTATGTATACATGACAATATTTTATATCCCTTATATATATGTATATCAGTTCTTAAGAAGCGCCCCACACTTTTTTCACAATAATATTAATTTAAAAATAAATTAACAAACAATAAATGGTATTTTTGTGAAAAAAAGCGTGATGAGCTTCATATGTCACTTCTTGAGAAGCGCCCCACGCTTTTTTTTCAATAATACCATTTATTGTTTATTTTAAACAATTTAAATTAAATTGATTTCCAAGGTTGTAAAGGTTAAATTAGTTTCCACGCGGTTTCTTTCATCATTGGAGCGTGTTTTTTAGTTTTTTTTAAAACTATATTTATTTTTTATTTTTTAGTTTCATTTATCACCGATTGATAGATGTACTCATATTATTAATTATTAATATTTCATTATTATGTATTTTATTGTGCTGAGCTGAGCGCCTATATAAAGGTTTTGATTACCTGTCAGTGAGTCAGTGCCAAAATTAGCTATTTTCACAGGGTCATATTTCAGGATCTACTGAAGCTTTATCTATGAAATTTGGCATACTGCTTTAGGACTGGTATATGATTACGTAGGTACAATTTTATCTCTGTACTTGCAATAGGCACTGAGCTACAGGGGGGTCAAAAGTGGGTCGAAACGGTTCGTGTAAATATAGCGCACGGCATGCGCCGGCCTGTGGAACTTGGCCGGCGCACTACCGTGCGCTTAGATATAGACTCGTGCTCATATATTATATTGTACGTTCCAGACGGCTCGAGGTCCGCGGCGGCGCTGGCCAGCCGGCTGGTGGGCGGCGTGTGCGGGCTGCAGAGCACGCTGGCAGCCCTGCTGGCAGCCCTGCCGGCCGTCGAGAGGGACCGGGACCAGCTGCGGGCCGAGCTGGCCGTGCTGCGGGACAGGAGCGACCGGGAGCGGAGAGGTGGGGAGATGTAGTATATATATAGTGTAGCGATACTTAGAGAAGTGTGATGTGAATATAATATATTAACCTGTGTGTTGTCGTCTCCCAGACTACCTCCACCCGGCGGACGACATATTCAGCAAGGGGACCCTGGAGCAGTCCTTCCAGGTGAGTGTGTATCTGTGTGTGTCTGTGTGTGTGTGTTGTGTATCTGTATGTATTAACGTGTGTGTCGTTATGTTTCAGGAGCACCCCAGTAACGGCGGTTGATGTGTTCGCCGGGTCCTGGTGGGAGCGGCTCCACGGCGCATGAAACTTACGAAAATCGCGTTTTTCTGTCAAAAATCGATCAATATTTTCGCTGTGTTTCCCCGCGCCGTCCCGCGTGTGTTATATTCCATACGTAGTGTATTGTGATCGCTCGTCTCGTGTTAATGTAAATAATCTCTTCAGCGCGGTATATGTTATGTATGACCGCGTGTTATAAACGAACTTTACATCCCTCTCTGCCGGCGGTCCGCAGGTTCTTGTTGAGTTATGTTGGTATAGTAATATGTAGAGGTCACATTCTATGATAGTAATGTAATCGTGTAGTAGCGGTCGTTGTATATATTGTTAGCTCTGCGGCCGCTCGTCCGTGTACAAAGCACTAGAGTGTCGCTCGTGTACCTTGCTAATGCCATATTACTGATGTATGTACATACAGACATAAGCTGTTTAATTTATATGTAGATACGGTGTGACCTCCGACTCGTCTTATAGAATTGTAAATGACTGTAGGAATTGATATATATAAGGGATCGTATTGTGAATACGGTCGGGCTGTACATTATACATTAAACAGCTTGTACATTAAGATTGTATAATTAGATCGTGTACTGTATAGAGAGGAGGCGCTGAAACTAAGCCGCGGGGTCCCGTCTCCTAATAAAACTATTTTTGATAACCTCTCTGACAAATCCTTGACAAACAATCTGAGTAATTTAAGAGTAATCATGTATTATCGATATATTGATCTGAGACACTTCGAATCCTTGTAAATGTAATCGACTCCCCCCTCCCCTTCCTCCCGGGACCCTCTCAGTGTATGTATAACATAACGTAAGTTAAACGTAGACCAAATGTTCCCATCCAACGGCTGACCGATTTTGATAAAACTATTGTTATTTGTAACATTTACACCGTTCCTCTTTCTGAACTATTGATATTCGTAGCTTCTATTTAATGTAATATATACTTCAAAAATATATTTTATATATTATATACTATGCACAGTTATCTGATAGTCACTTTAACAGTTTCCATATATACATAGAGTCCCCGTATTCTGTCTGTACGCAGCCACGACGCTTTACACGTTAAATAAACATTGTAACAAAGTGTAGTTAATAAATTCGTTAAACTGATCTCTTGTTTCATTTTATTTTAAACTTCCCTCCAATGATACACGTTACTGTAGTTATATACAATAATAGGAGAAGTGTTTTAATGTATGTGTAAGGCAAACTAAATGGTTTAAATAGTTTTAAATGGTTTATTTTTTACACCATCTTATAAATCCGAGACTAAAAAACACTGATTGAAATATCACAGGACTTGTGTGAATTATATTGTTATGTGATAATAAAAAAACGAAATTTTATACAAACATTTATTAAAATACTTGTTTAAACATACTTGCTTTTACATAAAACGTTACTTTTAACAAATCTTCATAAAAAAACCTCACTAACTTGTCCATTATTATATTAATCAATTTTAAACAATTAAAAGTATTTTACATGGAAAATATGTATTAAAACATTGTATAGAATACAACAAGAGTGAGTACAAGTAGTCGTGAGCCGAGCGTGTGTCCGCTTGCAGACCTGACGTCCGTCATGAGCTGCTCCATGAATAACAGAGACGACTGTTTGGTTCGCTCGAGATGATCCGACTCACTGCTGCCGGTAGGTCTGGAAATAATAAACACAGTGCTTAGAGTAGTGTTTGTATCTATACAATACATATAATACACATAATACAAGTCAGTAGTGGCCTAGTGATTAAAATTCCCACCTCTCATGCTCGACGGCTCGAGTTCGATCCTGGCAAGTACCAATGTGATTTTTCCGAGTCATATGTACTTTGTAAGAGTATTTAGACATCGCTGATTAATGCATTCCCATAGAGGGTTCGAAAATCGAAAAGTCTGATATTAAAGACATTTATCGGGTTCAAGGAAAAAAGGATAAAAATAAAAATACACCAATAATTATTGAAACAAGCTTAACAATTGTTAAAAAGGATATACTAAAAGCTTCTAAAAACTTTAATATTAAAAATAAAGAAAAACTGCGGGCCAAAGATCTTGGCTTTAAGACAGAAGAAAATACCCCGATTTACGTTTCGGAACAATTAACGGCTATAGCGTCTCGACTGTTCTTCTTGGCAAGAGATCTCTTCTCGTCCAAACAGTAGGTACAGGTTCTGTTGGACTTCGTTCGGTAAAATTTATGTGCGCAAGGACGAGACATCACCTGTTATTCGTATTAATAATGAATCGCAGATCAATCAGTTGATGCAAAAAAACATGACTATATTTTCTAATTTCATGTTTTGCTAATTATTGTTTTTACTCTTTACATTTAGTCCCTTTTGTTATTTTTATATGTAAAATTAGATTGAAGTTTAAAATATTTTTCTTGTATCATATAACGTTCATACAAAAATCACTTCACACGCACACACACAATGTCATACGTTCCTTTATTTCTATATTACTTAATAATTCATAAAACAATTCTGTACCAATGTAAATACGCATCCCTTATATATTTAAAACGTAATATTGAGTTAACTTATGATTATGGATTAGTCTCTGCAAATTATACAAGACATAGATAATACAGAAATCGCTAAGTCCATTGAATGTTCCATTGAAGACTTACAAAATAATATTTTTAAGAAATCGAGTTTAAATATAATTCACCAGAATATAAGTTTAGTGATTTTGAAATAACTTTTTCACAATTTAAAATTAATATAGATGTTATCATATTCACAAAATGTCGTTTAAATTCAAATAAAATTATTCCATTATTATCTAATTACACTGTCTATTTCACTAATAAATTAGTAAATCAAAATGATGGTGTCGTAGCTTACATTAAAAATGAACATAAAGTGAAAGTAAAAGAAATGAACTTAGTACACGCGTCAGGATTGGAAATAATGATGCACAATAGCATAATCTTGGCCATCTATAGATCACCCTCTAATACAAACGCAGAAGACTTCATTAATTCGCTACTAGCACATTTGAATTCGATCAAATCACGACATAATATTATAATCACTGGCGACATTAATATAAACATAATCGCTAAAGAAACTGCACAAACCTATGAACGAAATAATCGACAAAAATATCTTACATCATTAATAATGCATGGTATCCTGTGCGGGCACATGTTTCCTACAAGGAATCAATCATGTCTAGATCATTTTATGTTAAAAATAAACAAAAAGTCAACCTTAGCAACAGTTGCTGTTCTAAACACATCTATAACGGATCATCTTATGATTTTACTTAATTTATCTGATAGTATAACCCAATCAAACAAAAAGCAAACAACTAAAACAGTGGTCGATTACGGAAACGCTTATAAATTACTACAAGAACAGAATCTGACAGAACTTTTTCTCTACACTGATCTAAATGTATGTACTGATCTCTTGATTAAAAAAAAATATTTCACACACAGAGCACACTAAAACTATTGCTATTTCTAGAAGTAAACAAATTATTAAACCTTATATAACACAAGGCATACTACGATGTATTAAAAATAGAAATGACATGCAAAGAAAACTTAAATTAGATCCCAATAATGAAATATTAAAAATTACTTATCTAAGATGTAGAAATTTCTGTAATTCTCTTATTAAAAAAGTTAAACGTAAATATAACAAAGAAAAATTAGCTAAATCTTGTAAAAACAATAAAATTTTATGGCCTATAATTAATGAAATAACCTTGGCACAATCAGTCTTATCCTGTTGTATTCCGATTTGGGGTGGGACTTCAAAAACAAAATTCTTAGAACTGGAAAGAGTGCAAAGATCTCTTTCAAAGGTGATGTACTTTAAGTCCTACAGATTTCCAACTACCGAACTCTACAAATATGGAAACCTCCTATCAGTAAGAAAACTGTATGTCCTGCTCTCCATCGTAAAAGTGCACAGGTCCATTAAATTTGACCCTGAAGTGTCAACTAAGAGACGTAATAATGTTAAATTAATCTGCACATTTCCCCCGGCAAAAACTATTTTTGCAAGAAATAAATTGAAAAAACAAGATACTTATTTGAATGCTAAAATGAACCGTAAAGTTAACATCTTTGGTATGAACACGTATAATTGCAAAAAAACGTTAAATGACTACTTAAAGGAATTGGATTACAGTGAAACTGAAAAATTATTGGAAGTTATTGCATAAATATTTGAAGACTTATGTATGTCTAATTATTTAAACACTACAACTGACTATCACACACGCGCACACACGCACGCCCACACACGCGCGCACACACATACAAACATACATGCGCGTTATACGAATAAAACTACATTTAAGTTTTTTTTTTAGTATATACTACATATATAATATTGCGACTATTTTTCGACTATGTACTCCTACCTGATAGCTCTACAGTGTGACACCCCATCCACGATGTATACAGGGGCTAAATGAGTCTCGTGGGTCTTGTTAGGCCCCATAGGAGACCAGGGGTCGTGTCCGCCCCCCACTGACACCACGTCATCAGGAAGATGCTTCAGACCGGCGAACAGACGGTTGGTTCTCACGATGGCTGAACGAAGAAGACTCTCGTCGATACTGGATGTGTTAAAGAAACAGTTGTATTAACATTAGAATTTATAATAATAATCCTACATTGCTGGTAAACTTGACCAACTACAAATTATATAAATTTTGTTCGCGACTTCGTCAATATTGTTTTTGAACATGTACCGAAAAAAAAAATTACGTCTAGTCGCTTACTATATTGGACATGTCAATTGACAGCCAGCGACATCTATCGTCTGTTTAATGAGTTTATATTACATATGAATATACATATTGTTATAATATCTTCGAGCAAAACCAAATGGCATGAAGTGATATATAAGATAATATAGTTTATTTTTATCCTAGCTATAATGTTCGGAAGTTTCATCAGAGTGTACACAGTATATTTTAATTCATTGATCAACTAACTTTCACTCCTGATCTTATCTATTAACAGTGAATATTTGATTCAGTAGTCTTCACATTTTCTAATAATAATTAAATCCTACGTTATAATTTTCATTAATACTAATATATGAGTGAGTGTGTATATGTAGATATGTAATATATATCAGTGACCTGTCGTTAAAGAAGTCCTTGCACATCTGATGGAAGTATTCCAGCGGGACCGTGTTGAGGAACGGCTGCCTGGAGCTGGTGGTGGTTTGATACCAGCCGTACTCGGTACACGTCTGATAAGTCCACAGACGCACTGGGCACAATAGGACTCGTCAATATAATAATAATGTTACATTCGTTATACAACATAAGGGGCTAAACACACTGAGCGTTTTCTTATATTTTTTTCAGGGGTTTCATATTATCTTAATCAAATAAACTACAAGTATTTTACTTGTATGTACATAGAATACTTGTCATCTAGATATATATTTTTAATTACTAAATTTTTCTCATATCTACAAATAAGTTATTTTTAACATGTTGATAATACAATACAATTGCCACAAGAGACTATCTTAATTTGATGTTATAATTGATGTATTTTATGATAAAGACTTATAACTGTCAACACAAGTAACATAAAGGACTAAATGTAAGCAAAATAATACATCAAAAGCTAAATTGTGTTTTAAATTTCCATATAAACTGTTGTTCTCTCTAGCCGTGTATTCAGTCTCGTCAGCGCGAGTCTCCTTACAAAGCCGCTATTCGAATGCAAATCATCTATCCCACTGAATTTAGTTTCCTACTTAACGACCGTCCGTTACTTTCAACAGATTTCGGTTTAATTCTTGAGAATTATTTGAATAATTTAAAAAGTGATTATGTTAATGTTTCATTAAGCAACTTGTCTTGAATTTATTATTTAATAATTACGTCGATATGCCTTTTACATATAATACCTACTAAAAGACTTGGGCCTGTCCAGAACTAACATTAATTCATTCTTGGAACGTATGTCGAAGGAAGCCCTAGTAGGTCCTTATCAAATTTGGTCAGGTAGGGAGAGGAGCTTGGACAGTAGAGGTGAGCGTATATATAGCGTAGATAAGGAGCCCCTTAAACCTACACCTGGGTCGCAAGTCCCAGGCACTGTTAAAGCTCCTCTCCCTGCAACGCGATGGACCCGGCACCCGCACGGTGAATACATTGAATGATTGAGAGGTTTCGTCTCATATACAGGGTGACTGGTGAATTACTATCAATATTTAAGGAGCATACTCGGTACATGATTCTCATTCGAATTATGTAAAAAAAATAGGTACTTAATTTTTGATCAAATTTCCGTATAAATAAATAAAGTGTTGACACGTTCCAAGTGTTCAAGTGTGGACGCGTGCGGCGGCGTGCTGATACAACACTACGTCGCGACACGCGTATGTGTGAGTGTGAGTGTATACCTAATCTGTAGGGTGTTCATACGATGCGTAATTAATTACATAACTTTTGGTTAACTTTACTTAGAAGTTTATTAATATTTATGTTATATTAATTTTTATTTTATCATATATGATCGTCAAATATCACGTCCTCAAATATCGATAGTAATTCACCAGTCACCCTGTATAGTATGAAAACAATTAGTTAATACATTAAATAAGTTACTTGTGGCGTCTGGGGAGTCGTAGCTGGTGTTGGTGTGTGAAGCAACCTTCTCAGAGTATCTTGACTCGATACAGGGTTGAGTGTAAGGTTGAGAGGTCAGCCAGGATGAAAGACGGTCGATAGGATCACCTGCCATGGAACAAAGTCATGTATTAAGCCACAATACCTACTGTTAATATTGTAACATATCATATAAATAATTCGACGGTTTAAAATAATGTAATATAGATAGCTTCTACCTTTCTCGTTGTATATTTTCTATTTCAAAAACGAATTATTACATAAAACAAAAGAGACTAAGTATTTAAATGGACAATTAAACGAATGGTAAGACATTTAAATGGACATGAATCTGAAGAGTAGGTACTTTATAATTCTTATTATAAATTGTATAAAATATTATTACATAGTTTTTTAATTACTTATTTGTTTTTTTAATAGTTATATAAAAATTCACTGCAACCCAAATTATAATATTAAAAAATCCAATAACTAAATGGATTACTTCTGTTTAACTTAAATATTATAAAAAATATAATTTTCTCAATACGCTTCTAAGGTGAGTATCGATTAAGACTAACTTTTGGTTAATTTCCAATTAATATTTTCCGAGAAGAGATCAAGTTAAATAGCTGAAGCGTATAATATTATAGTAACCTAATGTTTTATTGGTGATGTGGTCACAGGCTCGTGGTATGTCCCCAGGAGTGGCGTACTGAACCAGGTAGGCGAAGGTCTCCGTGATGCCGAACCAGAAGAAGGTCGAGAGGTCCAGAGGAGAGCGGCGGAGACGGGAGCACGTACTAGTGTAGGAATAGAATATAGAACAGGAGATTTAAAGGGAAGTCGAGAAAACAACAAAATTCATCATAAAGTTTCGTTTCTGTTTATAAATACGTGATACGTATTAATGTTGTACTCTTTTTCTTTATCCTAATTAGATAATTAAAATATATGAGAGTTATTCATGTTTCATAAAAGAAACTAATATTCATATTTTTTGTAAGTCTTATAAGAAATTGCTGTATCAAGGTGACGCTTTGAATTGATAATTTATTCAATAAACATTATAAGCACAAGAAATATATAACAACGATATTATTAAACTACTGGTTAAATATATCTAAGTGTAAACTGATCTTGATGTTTTATATTAATTAGTTCTTAGTTAGTTTCAAATTTGGTTAGATAGAGAGAGGAGCTTGGACAGTGGAGGTGAGCGTTTAACGCGCGTTAGATAGAGGCCCCTTAAACCTACACCTGGGTCGCAAGTCCCAGGAACTATTAAAGTTTCTTTCCCTGCAACGGGATGGAGTTGGCACCAACATGGTGAATACATAGAATATGCTAAGATGTTTCGTCTTATATGTTTGAACATTCTATACTGACTCATCTCTTGATAGAGGTTTTACTTTATTAAGAAATTCTTACTTAAACAGTGTGGACACGGTATCAAGCCCAGCTTCTGTTTCTATCAGTTCATTAATCCTCTTCATCGCACTTTCAACATCATCAACACACTGTTGGCTGCCTTGGACACGGAGAGCCGTCGTTATAACTTCCAAGTACTCTGAAAAAATACATTCAAAATAATCTCAAGGTTTTATTATGACATGTGAATCTGATAGTTATTGAGTAAAAAAACGTCATTTTATAAAATATATTTGATTAGCTATGAATATTAATCTCAGGTGTTGTTTACGCAACAACTAACAGCACCTCGCTCACATCAAACAACTGGTGTTCAAACGTAAATATTAATATTGACGGAGAGTGCTCAAACCAAATATATTAATAATAGTGAATTTGGATATATAGAATTAAAAATTAAATATAATGTATTACCCTATAAGTAGGTACTGGGTTTCAGGGCAACATTTGGCCGAAAAAAACGAATAATTAGTTTATAATGAAAGTACCATACTTCTTTTTGTCCTTAATTTTGAGGGTATAGTCACTTTTGAAATCAATTGAAAAAAAAAGAATCAAGTGTTAGGGCAACATTAGCTGAAGAGTCAGGATTGGTATAAGACGAAACTTACAAATATTTATCTTTAATAAATCACTTCTTCAAGTCATATATGTATATTATAAGTAATTTGTTGAATGTAAATCATAATGCTAGTTAATATGAATATCAGTTTATTTCTTCTTGTATGGCCTATGGTTGTGTATGTGTGTGGTTGTTCGTGTATTACCTGGGAAGTCTTCTTGTGCGTGTAGCGGTCCGCTGTCAGACATGGACACCCTCACCAAGTGAGGGTAGGCCAGCTTCATCCACGTGGCCATTGACCCCGCGTACGAACAGCCGACAAGAGCCACTCTCGCGTTCCTTTACATACATATAATATATTTATACTCAGTAATGGACATTACCAAATTTTTTTCAAACATTCAATAATGTATGACTACTGATTTATTTTATTTAAGATTTAAAATATCGATTTTTTTTAGACAAGTAATACCTCATATTTGCATAGTACAATCACGAGTCGATGACATTTTTTTGTAATCCATTTGAGAAACTTTTACTTAAATTTAACTACACTCTATTAAAAGTACCTAATGTTTTTGTAAATTGTAGCACTAAATCAATTGTGTGTCCAAATCTATCGTCGTCTTTAAAGTCGTCGTCGTCTCTAAATCATTTCGGTTTCGGAGCGGAGTTGTTAATTATATATCTGGTCCTAATTCGCCACAAACCTAATTAACAAATTAGGTTATATCCCGGGAGAAGCGAATTAGGAATTTGTTTTTGAATTAATATGTAAATTGTGTCCGTGTTTAATGTTGATTGTTACTAAAGGAAGATAATCAAATATATTAGAAGGTTGTCGTTAGGGAGCGGTCGAGATTGTCTTCATAGTACTTTGATAATAAAAGGTGTTTATTATGATAAGAACCATGTGCGTTTACCTGTACAAGATAATAAAATAGGTTTCCTAAAATGACATAAATAACATCATGGCGGTATGTCATTTTGTTCTACAGATGAAGAAGAACACTAAATATTAATTCGTATCATGATGTGTAATATGTGAAGATAAGTTATTCTGTAACTTTTAGTAATATGAAGTAATATAAAGTTTAGATACTTTAATAATTTATTAGGAAAACTTAATGATGTTTGAATATTACTACTACTACTCAGATTATGTCTCAAATATTATATTGACTCACCTAAACCTCCCGTTCTCGAAGTCATCACTCCTCACGTATTCTATGAACTGAGCCAAGTCTCCAAGGGCCTGGTCCACGTTCAGATATCTCAACTCTTCAACAGTAGTTCCGCTGAAAAATATATATAAAGATCAAAATTAATAGTCATATTACAACTAGTATTACTTAATGTAATCGTCATCATCATCATCAGCCATATCAGAGCCCACTGCTGAGCAAAGGCCTATTCTCACATAAAGAAGGTTAGAGCATTAATCATCACGCTTGCTCAATATTGGTTGGTGATTTCTGACTTATTATTTTAAATTATAAGTCCAGGTTTCCTCACGATGTTTTCCTTAATGTAATACATACCTATATCAAATAGTTTATAATGTTGTAACGGAATAACCAAGATAATAAAAGATCGAAACTAGTTATATAAATAGAATAGTTGTTGAAGGTTAAGTTAAAATAACTGGACGTAGTTTAATTTATTAACTGCTCATGAAAAAGGACATCGCGGAGCGTCGTACGAGTTGAGTTAACAACAAAATAAGGCGTCGTTGACTCCGGGTCATCGATAATTAACTATAAGGCTGGCAACTATTGTTACTCTACTGATATGTACATAGGAAATATAGTTTATATATGTTATGAAAAAGTTTCTTTTTCACCTTGATTGTTAGGAAAAATAATATCAGTTTCAGTTTCTAAAGAAGTAAAAGTAAGTTTCATTTAAATATAACAAATTCATATTTTTTTTATAAATTAAATGACCATATCATTATTTTAATATATTAACTCAAGTTCTTCATCGTTGTCTATTAGTTAATGTGTGTTTTGCAAATATATTATTTTAAACCTACTAAAAATAAACATATAATTCGACAACTAACTAATACGGCCTATAGTTTGTACTCTGTACGTACATACATATATAGTAATGTCGCGTGTCAACCCTACAGTCTATTAACCATGTCCCAGACTAATAAAGCACACCTACTTGTGCGTTCATGAGATCACGACTACTGTCAGATTAGGACATCCGATGTTTAGGAAAAGTTAATTCTGGATTTGACCTTTGAACGAAATACAAGTTCGGTGGATGTTTTACAAAAATACTTCAACTAAAGAAACTAAGGAGATATTGTATGGTATAATAAATATACTATTATGAATGCAACCAGTAAGTCAAGGTACATAAACCACTCTCTAAACTAACTTGAATGAATCGGATCTTAAATATTATTATGACAGTTGGAGCGTAGCCAGCCAGTTGACAGTCTGCTAACGACATTGTTTGTTAATTGTTATTGAACAGATACATTATGGGCTCGTGGTTTACAATAAACAGCTTCGATATTCAATAATCGCATTACGCTTATATAAAAAACTATTTCAAACAGAAAACGGTTTACTAGTAAATTCCCTCTAAATAAACTATTAAGAATAACAAGCGCGTATAAGTGTTGGGTACATTAAAAATATGTTGTTATTGTCAGATCTATTGAAAGTTGAGAAGATTTACTTCTTTTGTATTGCACTCTAATAAATATAAAAATATATACATTGTTTAGTTAGTTATAATTTATATTTATGGCCTTTAGGATGGAATCATAATCTTATTTACATGCTCTTAACCATTATTTTATTTAAAATATACTAAATAAAAATTTTACTTTATTAATTATTACCTATACATATAATTTACGTATACTTTTCTTTCTCTTAGTTGTCTTATGGTCTTTAATATTAAAAAGATAGAGAGGTAATAGAGGTCGTACATTAGAAGAATGTAAGAAGAGTAGAATAACTATAGAACATACTGCAGTTGAAAAAAAAAAGATATGATACTGTTTAATAGATCGAATATTTAAATATTATACGAGAAAGAGTACTTTAATTGAACATCACAATCACCCAAACAAGATTACTCTTCACATAGACCTGAGCTACATTAGACATATTATTTACAATAATTCCTTTACGAACATTTTTACATCAGCTAAAAATTTTTCTTACACGATTACATCATTAAAACTATCAATACAATCCGGTATTAGTGTTAGTAGAAATTTTGTATAATGTCGAGTTTATGATGTAAGTGGTATGATTTGAAACTAAAATTTTCCGGATTATACTCAATACTGCTCTTATCTTACTATTGTAAAAACTATTTACATACTCCCGAGGTTTCGGTTACTTTTCAGCAGTTTTGCATTTAAATGACAACTCTCGAAAGGGTTAGATCTCATTGTAATATTTAATGATATTAAAAACTAATTATAACGTACGTCACTGTGATTTGATTGTTCTGGGACGCGATGCAGACTCCGAATAGTCCGTTTTAACAAGCCGCCTCTCACACGGACTGTTGAATTTAGTCCAATATTAGAATATTATGTAATATATTTAGGAAAGACTGACCTGATAACACAAATAAGAACTAGTATCTATAATAATCAATACTTAAAGATGTCCTTTATTCGATTTACGTAAAGTTTTTCTTTGAGAAAAATATAATAAAGAGATTTTACTATATATTGGATATGATGGAATTAAAATTCGACCTTTGTTCTCACAGATTAACGCTTGGAATGTTTTTGTGATTTGAAAAATATCCTCGTAGTATTGAACAGTTGATAATAGATTTTATGTTCTCAAGAGACGCTCATATTGATAGAGTCAAGAGAAAAAAATATTATACTGCTATCTTTTGTGTGAAAACATTTAAATTTTAAACGAAAATAAGATTTCACAACTGTTATTTATCTATAAGGATAACAAAGGAATGAAGTATACCTAAAAAATATGACATATAACATCCATTTTTTCTATAAAAATGTCTAAAATTTTGTTTGCAAATATGTATATGTAAGGATTGTTTATAAGAACGACTCAATGTATCTTATTGAGTTTTTTTAACATATAGTAATAATGTAATATATAGTTTAATGAATAGTTATAATAATCTATATCTATATCTTCTATATATATAAAAATGGATTGCTGTTCCTTAGTCTCGCTAAAACTCGAGAACGGCTGAACCGATTTGGCTAATTTTAGTCTTGAAATACTCCTGGAAGTCCAGGGAAGGTTTAAAAGGTGAGAAAAATTGGAATTATTGCCGGGAAAACCCTAAAAACAGCCCTTTTCTATTTCCCGTACAAACGATTTTTTGACATTAGACTTGACAACTAACTAATATGTCAATCATTCTGTTCGATTGAAACAGTGGAAATTTAATAAATACCAATACCGGGTTATTGAAGACGGAATAGAGTTTGCCCGGTCAGCTATACCTATATTACTAATGACGAAATTAACGCGGACGAAGTCGCGGGCAAAAACTAGTATATATATAAAAATGGATTGCTGTTCCTTAGTCTCGCTAAAACTCGCGAACGGCTGAACCGATTTGGCTAATTATAGTCTTGAAATACTCCTGAAAGTCCAGGGAAGGTTTAAAAGGTGAGAAAAATTGGAATAATTTCCGGAAAAACCTTAAAAACAGCCCTTTTCTATTTCCCATACAAACGTTTTTTTGACATTAGATTTGACAACTAACTAATATGTCAATCATTCTGTTTGATTGAATATGAAAAACCTGATTATTTATGGCCTCTAAGACGGAATAGAGTTCGCCTGGTCAGTTATACCTACATATATTACTCTTGACCAAACTAACGCGGACGAAGTCGCGGGCAAAAACTAGTTATTATATATAATAGGTTCGTCTTCGGGGAGTCGCTGAAGGTTGTCGTGTGTCTCGTGAGAGGTTGCAAACATTCATTGTGATTGTTCCCGCGGGCTTGTCTGTTCCGCGTCTGTCTGCACCTTTGTTTATTATTTATATTATTATATATTTCATCATATTATAAATAGGTAATACACAAACTAATCCAATGAAAATATTTTTTATATATGACAATGTTTTATGTTTCTTTTTATATACATATGTTTATACTAGCTGACCCGGCAAACGTTGTTTTGCCATATAAAAAGGGGTTGGTGATAAAAAAGTAAAAATTTTGGGTTCTATGTATTTTTTAAGGCTACATTATAAAGAAATAAAAACAAAAATTTCGAAAAATCTTTATCACTTAGGGGTCAAGCCGTTTTGGAAGAGTACGGGAACGAACATTGTGACACGAGAGTTTTATATACATATATAGTGTTCGGTATGAGGGAGGCCTTTTTGTCTGTATGTCCGTCTGATACTCGTAATATGTAATACACTTTAAACATCATTAATATATATTAACTGATATATATGTACATTAATTAATGACTATTACTATATTAATTATGAAATTTATATTAGCTAAAGAGAATTCATGTTATATATGGGTTTAATATGAAGATTATATATGTCATTTAACTGTATATGACGAATATACTATAGGTAACTAATCATTATAGAGTTAATGAACAATTTGTGTGTTAACTATACTTACTAACCAACATTGAATTTGACCTTTATATGTAAATATGAAATATATGTAATACTTTATATATATTAAGCTTAGCATTAGAATTCATACGAAAAGAGACGGTATGTGTAGAAGTAGTGTTATTATAGATTTTTATAATATCCATGAATTGTTAAACTTTTCAATATTTTCCATGATCAGTTCCAATAATGAGGAGACGATGTTGTAGGTGGTGACATTCAGTGAGTTAAACACGACGTTTGATAGAAGTATACCACACAGCTATAGTTAATTGAATACATTTAATATATCAAATGTGTATAATAAAAAATAATTTTCATTTGCTTTTCTTTTTCAGCAAAATCAGTTTTATGTGAATGGTGGTAATCGAGCAGACGGTCTACTTGATTGGCAGTAGTGACCGTCGCCCATGGACATCCACAAGGGATAGGGAGGGGTGGAATAAGGAAATGATAGGACAAGGTGGGAATAGGGAAAGGGCAACCGGCTCTCACACTATCTTATTCAATTTAAATGGTAGTTATGTCTTACTTGGTGGGTCTTGTCAACCCGTAGTATCTATGCTCCGTGTAGAACAGCCCAGCCCCTATCCTCTCGGCCAGTTCGTACGCGAGTCCGCTCCTCACCCACCCTGGAGATATTGTCCACTCTCCTCCGACGTAGATGACGATGTACGGACCGCGAGAGAATTGAGAATTGTAGTAGTAACGCTGAGTAGAAAAAATATTTCAATATAAAATTGATTCGGAAAACCTTTGTTTATCTTAGCATAATATTAATACACAGATACACTCAAGTATGTATATACAGTTTTACTGTACATGTGTGTGTCACTGAAGTCTGAAGTCCCTCTAAATGGCAGAACCGATTTAAATATTTTTTTATATGGTCCATGGCCATGATTAAGATTCTGAAATCATCAAGACAGATGATGCTGAATGAAGAATCTGCAACGTACGTTACTATATATTTCGTTTTAACACACTATACATTTCTCTGCGCCCAACTCTCATGTACACGCAGACGGATTTGCAAGCAAATGCTGGTTATATATGTATATTTAAAATATTATTTGAAAGACATGCTATTATTTTTTTATAAACCTATTAAATTTAATTGTGCACTTGATGAAAGATTCAAACGTTCAAATATTATCGTTATATTAACGTGTTAAAGTACACTTTACAATGACTTCATTTCCTTCATTGTTTGTTAATTTCCACGTTATTTTCCTTAAACTCACTACAGAATAGACGCGGCGCCTCCTTTATTATTGAATAGAATTAATTGATGTACTTTTATATAAATTTAACTTGAAGTGGCTCTGCAACGAACGAGGCGAGTGGAGCTCTGACGTCAATAGAAGAGAAGTAGCATTTGGCTTAAGATACTCGCTTACTGAAACTATAACTAAGTGTACGTTTGCTAGAAATAAAACCTGAAAGTAACTTGTCACTAACCATTTGGAAGGTATCTGTGTTGGAAGCATCGAAATGATTGAGTCTGACAGGAAGCCATCCCTCTGTGATGTTGGTGGAACTTCGAATTGATGGTTCAGGAGGAGGAGGTTCAAAGGTTCTGAGGGAATACGCCGAGGATATGAGGCACAGGAGCAGCCCTGAAATATGAATAAAATATACTAATAGAAGTAGCAAAAACGTCAGGAGTATGTAGTTTTTTACAAAAATAAAGCACGCGTAGTATATCCGATAAATATAGTTTCATTTAAATATACTAATATATTTGTAATAAGTCAGATTGTCTTAAGATGTCATAGAATAGAAAATTCACCAGAGAAATTATATCACAGACATACGCTATTTTTTAAAAAAGAAAAATACATTATAGAAAAAATTGTAAAAGTAAATAAATGATATCTCATAAAAAAATATAATAATAAATAATAGTATAAAATCTTACACATGTTCATTGTGAGTTGATTTCACTACAATCTTTTTGTTTTTATAATATTATCATAATAAAGACTTATCGTAATCATTTAGGACAACTCCTCAAACAAAAATAATTAAGAAATAATTTTTAATATCATTGGTAATTAACCATTTTTTTCATAACATCACACTAACTAAATTCCAGGAACTCGTGAAGTATGGATTCCTATTGTCATTTATAAAAGAATTCCAATTAAGAAATAAAAACAATCCATAAAAGTTTCCATTATTGTAATTTAACACAATATGTTTCAAACCATTTTGTTAACAACAATTGAACAGAAGTACACAGATATTATCCAATTCTGTATTTGTTAGTTGTATAATATAAATTTATTTTTAAAATAAAGAAAACTTGTCTTACGTCGTTTTTATCATGTATGTTTGTTGATTAAATATTTTTGATAAATTAATAGTTAAGATAGTATATTAAACACTATAAACATATCGGAAAGATAATATTGATTTGATAATTTTTTATTAATTGGTTTCCAATTTTTTATAGCATATATGTCTCAATATGTAACTTCAAAAGTTTTTTATATATTTCTTCTCGATACTTAAATAGGTGATCCCGAAAACAGCACTTCATTTTACCTAGTTTGATATTAAATTCTTAAAACCATTCTATTTAAAATATCCATACTCTAAAATTGGAATGTTAATTTCACATTTTCTTTGGTATTTTCTATGAATAATAAAAAAAGAGTAAAGTGTTTCTAAAACAGATATTATGCTTTAACATCGAAGACGTTGTTACGGTCTTCTATAGTTTGATTGTCACCAGACCCTTACTCAAGACTAATAAAGAATGTCCTACAAATATTACAAATATGTAAAATGTTGCTTTCTTCACGGAGAAATTACTGAACGGATTTTGTTATAACTTTAGGATAATGTTGTTTAGACATCAGAATAGGACATAGACTACAACTTATACTGGAATTCCGAGTAGTTCCCTTAGGATCACATCATAAAAGTTGTGTTGTGTGTGAAGTTAAGCCATATTGACTGTAGATGTCGATGGTTGGTAGACATATTTGTTGCTTTATCACATACACTATACACGATAAATGTCTAAGTAAGTACAAAAAAAAGAAATTTTTTTTTTACAATTAATTAAGTTAATATCATTAAAAATAAATATACCTTTAACAACATTCTTATTATTAGAAATATTACCAATAAAATAGGTTTTTATTTTCGATTTTATCTTCTAAACCTTTTATTTGTATCGACTATCTAATTTTTGTTTTGATATCAAAACACCAAACAGTAAGTCAACATGTGACATTTCGTTAACAATAATTCCCGTGCTTGACCTCACCGTACATGAGGTCTGGAATGTAAATGAACTACGGAACTGAACATATCAAAGGAAATTTGAATAAATATAATGGAATTGGAAAAAGTTCCATTATTATAATGAGATTGGAAAACAGGGACACGGTATGAATTAACAAAGTAATGGAATCACGACAAAGGAGCCCGGGCTCGTCGCTCATACATAGTGGGACTGTTACATTAACATTTTTATAATATCTAGTTTGTTTTATAATAGTTTAGACTTCGCGTACTACATTTGTTTAATATAAAAACTATTGATTATTATTATTATTACCCTAGAGTAGTCGCGCCTTCTCGTGAAACGCGAGTGATCGCGTAGGGAGCATTTTGCCGCCCGTACTTAATACGTTTTCTTTTTGTTAATATGAATCATATGCATTTGTAATTATGTTTTAAAGATAAAATAAAACACCAACTATAAGAACAAGAATCATTTATATAACTTTTTTAATAAGAAATTAGAATACAATGCTTTGGAAAATCTTAGATAATTATTTTAGTATTTTTGGAACTTCCTCATTATTATTTAAATAAAAAATATAAAAATAGAACTTAAGAGCTAAATCATTCGTTTTCCTCATTTACAGCATGTATTTCATCAAAACAATGCTGGCACATATATATGCAATGCTCATTGCACAGTAATTTTGCACATCTATTGCACCCTTTTTTTGTCCTTCTATTTTTCTTCGATGGACATACTGCGCATATTCCTTCTCGGACTGAGGGTATATTTTGATGTTCCGGTGGCACAAATCGAGTGATTTGGTTCCTCAGATCCTTCTGTAAAGTAATCACGCCGGATCGTCTAACGATATGTGGTCTAATCATAGCCATGGCAAAATCTTTGTGTTATTGTGCATTGACGTTGTATACGCCTCGAAGGTCTCTGGGACGTGCTGACTAGGGATGGACTTCGACTTACTTGCGTTACAGTAGAACTACGTGTGATAGATTGCGTATTTTGTATTACTGCGGCTCCAGCTCCACGACCACGCCGTAATGACTCCTGAGTAGGCACAGGTGATACGCGACAGGTTGATGGCTCATCCTTGTCAGATTCTGCCGCTGATTGCTCCGTGTCAGTACAATGATCACTATGTTCACTTTCCCGGTCGCTTTCAGACACAGTTTCATCTTCCTCGCCATCGTTCTCCTCTTCCAACCACGCAAGTATTTGTTTGTCATTTCACACGATATTTATCTAAAAAAGAAATAAACTAAGCATAATAAAACAAAAACACAAGGCCCAATAATTAATTAAAACAAAGTAAAATTAATATCATACCATATTACCATTAAAATAATACTATACGCAATGAAAACAAGTAATATTTCAACATTAGTAAAAACTAAGATCCACAAACTTTACTTACGTGAGTAGTCGCGCGGTGAGCAATTTGTCGCCAAACGCGACACAGCCCCAACAACCTTTGTCTCCTGCGGTCATCCGAGCACTGATTTAATTCTTATTTCTAAAACAAGAAGGTGAGGGACGGGGGGCAGCTACCCGGACGCTTGACCTTGACAATTGCATAGTGTACAAAATAAGACGAAAATTGTGCCGCGGGCGGCAAAATGCTCATAGCGCGAGCACTCTAGGGTTAATAAAAATAACTCTATTTTCTGTGCTTACACATTAAGTAGAGTCAAATTCAGTTCAATTTTGTTTAATTATCTATTTAATAAGATTTTTTCATAATTATTTAATATAATTGTTCGTGTTCAATAATTTGTCACATAACGGGATTGAGAGACACAATAGAAGGAAATCAAAGAGGATGCCACAAGCAGCGATAAATTACATTCAAGTGACTTGAAAATAATTAGTTTATAAAACCTGTAAAGAACTTTATTTATATGAAAGTAATAAAAAAATAAATGTACGATGATATTGGATAATATTTAACCAAAATTATATATAGTTATTTTTATAACTAAATTTTATTGCCGCTTCCGAAACTACCTTTCGGTCGTTAAGTGATTATTGTTTAAAAACTTTTAATTTCTAAAGTATGTTTATAATTTATCTGTAATATGAGTTGTATATTTAAGTTATTTTCATTTATATAAACTATTACAATATAAACGATAATTTAATGAGACGTAACGAAGGTTTCATGGAACTGTGAATATGAAATTATATAACTACCAATAGATATTAAGATATTACTAAATTAAATAAATATTGACAGAATAGATGATGTAGACAAAATAAAAGTTTTTTATAAATATGTGTAGATATATAATAGAATTAATATTCCCAAACTTTATTCTGAAAGTGGGTTGATGTCAGGCAGACGGCCGGTCGTGAAAACAATTAGCCAAAACTATTCACAACATGTAAGGCAGACCCTGGCTAAAGCTGGGAAATTGCCAGGTAGAAGAAGATATAATAGAACTAATCGAAGAAATTAATCCACCTCTATATAATATACAAAACAAACTGAATTAGCCTTAGAGTTTTGGACAAAATATCATATGTATATATACATATATATAAGGACGATCCAAAAACGATTTTGATTTTTATACTGCTGTTATTGTTTAACTGGAAAATGTAATCGGCTAGAAGTGACGGTACAGTTATTTCCTAGAAGTGTTTTTCTTCTATTAAACCTATTCCATGATAGTCATGGACCACAGACTCTTAGACTCATGAATCACGTTTCCTCTTACATTATGATTCAGTTATAATATTGATGAAATAATTTTGGTCACCTGTCTTTAATTTGGTCTTTGTATTGTATTTTATAGTCGTGCTTGTGTGAAATGTGACTCAACGCACGTGCTGTTCACCAAGATATAGAATTCGCGGAAGTGTCTTTATAACATTTATATGCAAAAAAATTGCCGTAGTAATTAATATACAAAAATGTTATTAGATTTTTATTATATTCAATTGAATGTAGTCAAACTATTTTGTTTATTTCATTAATAGAGTTCATTTCATTTATATTTTTTAATTTTTAACATTTTAATTGAAAAGATATTTAGGCGACTAAACTTTAGAAATAATAGTTTAAGTTTAAGTTTAAACTTTAGAAATAAATGTGCTATTTGAATATTTAACAGATATATATATAGAACATTTTATTGATATATAAGCCACATGTTAACAAGTCGACGAATCTTGTCTGTCTGTTTTACCACATCCAGTTTTAAAGGTATATAAAGTCAGTCACGGTCGACATATCAAACGGGTGACTAAGTCTCTTGTATTGTTGCAATGTACGCGACCGGCACCTGTCGCTGTGTATGTATGTATGTATGTTTGTTTGTCCTTCGACACCAGCTAATTAATGATCAGACTAACGGTTAGTTACTTCCTGATGGCTCTGTAAATTAGGATTGAAATATATATAATTATAACTGTACTTTTAGAAACAATTAGTACGAATGCATACAATTATATTATTGAAATCAAATTTGGATATTTACTGACGATGTGTAATTAAGAAAATATTACTTTTACGTGATGTATCAGAAGGAATAACAATGAATTCGACAATAAACTGAAGACTATTTTACATATACAAATACGCGATATTTTTGTTCAATTTTTTAATAAGTAGATGTTTCTTGAAAAGTAGCATACCTCCATACATACATACATATTTATATATTAGTATGTCAAGTATTAGTAGCATGTACCTATCTGTTCTGTAATCCACACATGTAGACGGACGTTGAAGAGACATTTATAAGTACGGATATTATCAGACTTGACTATCATAATAAAGCTATATGGATATAAATCTTTGCACAATATATTTAATACTACTAAAAGGGAAAATTTCCCTTTTTTAAGCCGTTACTTTGTTAAACAGTAATTTAAGAGAACAACATAGGAAAAATCTAAGTAGCATGAGTGAATATATGTATACAGGGTGACTGGTGAATTACTATCAATATTTAAGGAGCATACTCGGTACATGATTCTCATTCGAATTATGTAAAAAAAATAGGTACTTAATTTTTGACCAAATTTCCGTATAAATAAATAAAGTGTGTACACGTTCCAAGTGTTCCAAGTGTGGACGCGTGCGGCGGCGTGCTGATACAACAACACGCCGCCGCGCGCTTATGTGTGAGTGTGTGTGTATACCTTATCTGTAGGGTGTTCATACGATGCGTAATTAATTACATAACTTTCGGTTAACTTTACTTAGAAGTTTATTAATATTTATGTTATATTAATTTTTATTTTGTCATATATAATCGTCAAATATCACGTCCTCAAATATCGATAGTAATTCACCAGTCACCCTGTATATTATATATTGACTCTTCCTCATCTAGTAATGAGTAATTTCAGTGATGTAAGGACAACTAATAGACGTCATTTCCTTATCATGTTTGTACACAGACGTAGTCGCTCATATTATCCTTAACTGGGATATTTCGTCATATATACAGATATTATTACTTAAATATGATTCGGGAATAATTTAATATAAATTAACATTCTTCTCTTTTTAGATAGCGATAAAAATAATTGTTCTTTTAGTACAAAGACACTTTTATTACATAGCTACAATTTTTTTTTATTCATCTGTCACATGTTTCATTACAAGTCTCGGGAATGCGCTTGTAAAATCATCGAAAGCAATTATGTGACATCAATTTTAAATTATTTTGTATTTTTCTCAATGTTTTAAATAAATATTCTGTTTTCCTAATGATTGCTTTTATGTTTCCTATACTCTAAAATATAGATTATATTGATAATTAAATTTATGGTTGACTACTTTGTGTATAATTTAGTGATTTCTATTTTACAACAAGCCAACAAACAAACAATAATAAACGTATATTTTAATTCTCTCACTATAATAATTTTGTAATTTATTTTAAATATTTTTTATTAGGAGAACAAAAAAAAATTTTAAAGTTAAATGTTTTACAAATTAAAGACGTTATTAATTCCCTCCTAGATCTTATTGCATGCTACATAAAACAAGGGCTACCTTCCAAAATTTTAGGTAATCGTGTTATAATAGGGACTGCTTCTATTAGTAATATATCTGAGTATGTATTCACTAATTATAACTTATTTAAATTTACAGCTACTGAAACTAAAGAATCTTCACTATTGTTGCAATAATTATTCATTGCTTCCTCATATAATATTCCATTGTTAAAAAAAGGATACGAGGTGTTACGTGAGAAATAACACGGTATTATTTGAGTGTACAATAAAATATTATTATGTATTTACTAGGACTATAATGAGTAGAGTAGATTGAATTGAATTGGATCCATTGAGCGTTACAATCACATATAATGTACGTATATTAAACACGTGGAGCTGTCTTCATTATTAAGAAATATAAATAATTTTAATGAATAAGTGTCTTTATATATATTTTTATTTATTTTCATTATCTATAGTACTTTTTAATCAGTGTTTTAACAATGTATATAATAATTATTTTACAGGTCAATTTGTACTTTTCCCCGTATTCATAATATGGTTTAAGATAATTGAGTCAGTCTAAGTACAGTCTGTGTGTACGTTGTCCAGAGATCTATCAGTGTAATATAAATCCCTGGATCAACCCTTTATACCCTTAGTGTGAGTTTTATTGTTCGGAAGCATTATAATAATGTTCTACATCAAATAAAGCCTACTTGGATGATAGAACGAATTCTTCTTCTTTCTGGCAATTTCCCAGCTATAGCCAGGGTCTGTCTTACATATTGTGTATAGTATTGGCTAATTGTTTTTACGACATCAACCTTCTTTGGGAAAGAACGAAAACTTATTATATCTAATTATCTATAGCATTATTTGAAATAAGGTAAACTGTTTAAATTTATGTGAATTTAAACTCTTTCCATGCAAGATCATTTATAACGCTTGACGGGAGTATCGTGAGTGGTAATGAATGAACTCGAAAAGTTTGACAGTTACCGTTAACTAGGAACTCATACTAATGATAATGATTCTGAACCCTTTATTTAATTGAGTTAAAAGCTGAGTTGTATCTGTGTGTGTGTGTGTGTGTGTGTGTCTGTGTCTGTGTTAATGACTGACGAATTGTGATTGGAAGGATTTGCATAAAGGGTAGTCGACAAGAGAAATACTGATTTGAAAGCACGATAATTGTACTTAGTTTTGAGATACAATTAATATGTGAATTTAATGAAGCCCGCTTTCTGTTCAAATAGATAACGATCTATTTTAAAAACATAATTTGAAATAATTTTTCATATTACTTTGATAATTAATAAATTATTGTAAAATATTTATCACTGTTGCTAAATCCAAGAGTAATATCAACTACAATATTCTTCTTCTATCTGGCAATTTCCCGGCTATAGCCAGGGTCTGCCTTACATGTTATGTTGTGAATAGTTTTGGCTAATTGTTTTTACGACCGGCCGCCTGCGACATCAATCCTCTTGGAATATAAACTACAATATTATAGAAGTAAAATTAGGAGTAGTGTCAAATGATATTACTCTTAGTGTCAGATTTCAGAATTCAGAATTCCTAACAGTAAAATCAGATGTGATTTGACGCTTTTTTTTTGTTTTTTAACTCGAGTTGCATTATATAATAGTCCAGTCATTTAAGCTTCCAGTGATGCGGTGACCGCGCGCTCTCCGCCCTCTATCTCGAAAACGGTACACCGTATAAAAAATTTTTTGAAACAAAATTTGTAGAGAATTTAGTATTCTACAAAATTGATAATAAATACAAATAGCAAAAAACCCATAGGAAATGAGATATTTCCAAAAAAAGCGCAAAAAACCGATTTTTGTGACCTTTGACCTTGAAATTTAATAGGTGCTTACACCCTACCATATGTAGGCTTTGAGACAACTTTTAGGGTGTCACTATTTACAGACTTACAGCTGGGTATCTCGAATTCCGACGTGAAATTACTATAATGACTGGACTATAACCATATCTATGTTGTTAAAGTATTAGTCATTTTTATATATGAAACCGTAGTCACAAAGACTCGTAGTATAAGGACTCGGTACAAATAGCAACTCCATGTTAGTTGTATAATATGTGACAGTCAGAAGGAATCCTTGTGAACTCTTGTTGTAATTAATAAGGTTGAACTTAGTCATTCATATATATTAAAAGATTGATAATATTTTACATACTTTGAATTTAATTTTTATATGTTAGAAATATTTTAAACCATTATAGGCTTTGAAATGGTCTAAATGTAGCTATGTCTCCTTATAAGTAAATTTTCAGTGATGTTTTCTGACTATGGGGTTGTACGTAATAAAAAAAAAAAACAATTAATTCCCAGTATTTCATTCATATACTTATTTTAATACTAGCATTACTTTAGATCTAAGAATGAAAAACTGTAAATATCCACGTTTATTTGACTGTGTATTTCGAAGGCAGCCCTAGTAGGTTTTTTTTCAAATTTGGTTAGGTAGAGAGAGGAGCTTGGACGGTAGAGGTGAGCGTTTAACGCGCGTTAGATACTCGTAGAAGCACCTTAAACCTACACCTCGGTCGCGAGTCCCAGACACTGTTGAAGCTCCTCTCCCTACAACGATGGACCCGACACACGCACCGTGAATACATTGAATGCTAAAAGGTTTCGTCTCTAGTGGTAGGTAATTCATTTAGTAATGAGACTTGTAAACCAAAATGAATGCACTCATAGTTAGTATAAACGCCAATAAGTAGTTTAGTAATAATAAGCATAATGTATTAGAGGGTATGGAGAGGTTTATTAAAGATACTTGCGTGTTTCAATACCGAGGGGAGGTCCACCCTAACATACAATCAGATGAAGCACGCGACTGGAAAAACCCTTTTTTAATAATATTGAACATTTGGTTATAATAATGTTCCGGGTAATATTGATTAGATCACTATGAAGGGATACCCTTAGGTACTTATACAACAAGTATACATTTATGATTAGTTAGAGACATACTGACTTTGAAGTTGTATGATAATACATATAAAATTATAAAAAAAAAACACAAGAATATTTACAAAACGGTCTGTCATTTTACATTTCATAAAAGTCATATAAATAAGTATATATTAAGATAAAATGACAGACGAGAATTCACTTTTTTTTGGAAATTTCAGAAGAAAACTTTTGTTTAAATGAAACAAATATATTTCAGATTATTTATTAGTAAAAAAACTACATACTCCCGACGTTTCAGTTACTTTTCATCAACCGTGATCACGGTTAGACGAGATGTTTTTGTTACTTTTATTGTTTGATTTCATTTATGCTTCATATATATACAAGCTAATAGATTTTCGATCTTTATTAAGTCTTAATATTAAAATGCAATAGTATTCACTTATAACTCTAATTTTACAAATTTAAATCATTAATTTCCCATTTTAATATCAATTAAGGTAATATATAAATAATCATATTATAGTTTAATGTACAGTAATATAACATATGTATATTAAAAGACATTTTTAGCTGATTATAAATACTTCCTGAATTTCTCTAATCAAATAAATATGTAATGTTTTTCAATCGTAATGCAATGCTCTCAATGGATTCAACCTTGAAGTAGACTTATAAAAACAAAACAACACACACTGTGTTTATTTAATACTTGATGTAGTTTTCTTTGCTATCTTATACAGTTATAGAACTTAAAAATTGATAAAATAATCTATTTGTTTCGTAAAATTGGTAAAGACAGACATTTGTTCATGATAGTTTCTTTAGCATATCTTAATTAATATCTTTATACATATAATTTAATACTATATAGAAACGTATGTGGTATATTATATTGTTGTATAATATATATTTTTCTAATAAATAATTATTATTTGGCTCAAAGAACTCATGTATGCGCGATAGGACGTGTAAATTAGATTGAGAAATAGAAACCTGTTCAACATTGATAAAGTGACATTTATTATACGAAGATAATATTTAATTCATTGAAATTTTAATACATGTTGTAGAAAAAGAATAAAAGGTCTTTAGCAAGAATTTCGTTTTTGTCTCATTCAAAAAAGACAAAGATTTATATTGTATTTGGTATACACAATTGCTGATTAAAGTATGACGAAGACATTTAATATAATTTAATGATATGCCACTCGAACAATCATACATTGATACAAATATTCCTATATGTATATTATGTATCACTTGTTTACTTAAATGACCAGAAACAAAACTTCCGAGCCACTACCATTCAGGTTGATAGTAATTCATATGACAAACAAAAAACAACTTAATATCAAAAGTATAAAGATTCATTTACTATGATCTCATCTCGTAAACAAGTTCATTAATATTGTTAAAGGAATATGCATCATAATTACATGGATGTAATGTTTAAATTTGTGTGTATGTATTTTGGAGGTAACATGAGTCATATTTCTCAGGATTCAAACAGTTTTACTACGTATTCGATAGTATCTGTATTAGTAATTTACTTCTGGTTATGTCACGTTAGGATCTAAAGCTAATTAAAAAAATATACACGCATCATCAAATTATTGAGAAGACATTTTTTCTGGTATGAATCATTTTTTTACAATGTTTCTTGACATTAAAACAAGGCATAAAAATCGTTTAGTATATGAGTTGGAACTAAAAGATAAAATAATTTTTGATTCAAAATAGTCAATATTTTTGTGTTATATAAGAAAAATAGATTTTTTTACTGTTTAATGAATATTATATTTTTCTTTTTCATGACATATTATTTTATTTTATTTTCCAAAATACGGTTCTCAATTCGATTATAGTTTCTTACAAATTATAAATAATAGGTTATTGTCCTTTATTCAATTTTTAACAACTTCTTGATAATAGCACAAATTATAACACATGATGACATTTATAAAAACAATAATATATGAAAAAAAACTCCCTCTCACTCACACACACCTATTAATATTTATAGTTTAAGAAAATTTCATTTATAATAATTAATACACATTTCTTTGAAATTGAAACAGGTCATTCAAAATATAAGACTAAAAGGCTTATACAGTTATTATGATCAATTATTATTATTTAATAATTTTAATAAACATTAACCTAAATAATTCGTTTTATATAAAATATATTATATATTATTATAAAATTGTGATTCATTCTTATTTTTCTTATTTTTCCTTCCTTTTCACACACCATTCATAAACTTCAAGACTTCAAGAATTTTCAAAATATTGTTTCCGAAAGTACATTTGCGTAAGTATATAAAAAAGCATTAACTCTACATTCATGATAAAATGTTATAGTGTAATATAATAAAAAATTACATGACTAAAGAAAGAATATACAAAGGAATATATTTACTGCAGTTAAAGAATTTGTTCATAAAAGTAAGCGACCTTCACCATCTCGATTAGTTAAATATGATTTTAGTTAAAAGATACTTCATTTAATTTATTCTCCGACAGATAACACTGTTGACTCTCTCATATCATTTAGTTTTTGCTTTTATCTTATGTATAGAATAAGTAACTTAATAATTATGAACTATACCAGATTTAGAATATACAAACCGATGTAGACTAAGGTTCCAACCTTAAACAGGAGCGATAACAAAAAAATCAAGCATTAATCCAACTGAATCATTGATGACGCATTTCAAACGTATATTATAGAGTGGTAGTCGCTGGCACGCCATTTAATTGTGGACAGTCGGAGCAAGCGCGCGTACACGATGTCTGTTCAAGTGCCTAAAGTTGTTTTGTACGTTCTAAACACTGTTTACACTGTGTTCGGGCTGGCGATCAGCGCTGCTTCGATATGGTTCTTCTGTCAGGTGTTCGAGTTCACCAGGTTACGTAACAGCAATCATTATCTCCTGGATTATTCGGTCTACTGGCCTCAAGCGGTGCCATGGATGTTTTTCTTCGTGGGTTTCTTTGTTCTGATGGTATCGGGATGCGGATTCGCCGGCGTCTGTCGGAAAAATCGTGGCATGTTGACATTGTATGCTGTGGCCATGTCGTTAGTGGTGTTATTTTGTATAGCAGCCGCTGTGGTGGCGCTAGTGTTCGCGGATAGCAAATCTACTGATGATTTCGTCAAGGACACAGTATGGGATGTGTATTTCCAGACGAAGAATGATAACGAGGTCGCCGATGCTTTCGGAATTATCGAGAGGAAGTTGCATTGTTGTGGAGCCGACAGCCCCAGGGATTATAAGAACTGGAAGAATGAATTCCCTATATCCTGCTGCGACGTGTACTATCACGGCTGGCTGGAGCCCTACGCCATCGACTGTGAGTTCACTAACAAGTTGGCCAATGAAAGACACGGATGTTCGACGGTCGCTGCTCAATACGCCAGAATTGCGATCAAGGTCCTATCGGGAGCGTCTATTTTTACCGCATTTATTGCCATAATGGGTATTGTGTGCGCTGTTTCTTTGTCAAAGGCACTGGAGAGAAAAACACGACCCCCGCCTGTTCATGAGTCAGAGAGTAAGAAGGTTCTACTGTAAGTTATCAAATAACTGAGTTAAACCAAGATCTGATCAATAGATGCAAGTAATCTACATATTTGTTTTATATAATGTATGATGGAAAATGTTAATCGGTTTCGCTTTACGTACGAGGGCCCATTTGTACGTCTTTGTGTAAAGAGTAACAAAAGTGGGTTAAGAGGAAGTATACATACGTAACATTTTAGTTTCTAGTGGCATTTAAGAGGCGGACTGATGTAGTGAAACGAGTTTTCTACTTTTGAACTAAAACCAAATACTTATGCAACTTATAAGTTTTAGATTATGTAAAGATGGTTAGGGTTTTATAAGTACATGTTGGTGAAACGAACCGCTGCGTTATAATTGTGGCGTTTTTTTAAGAAAATAAGTTAGTTGCAGCGGTTTTGTTCTTGGCGATTCGATTCACCGATATGACGCTGTTTTAATATTCATGTGTCTTAAGCATCTTGTGTCAATATTAATGTATGAAGTCATGTAATGTGAGTTAATTATAAGAAAATTTATAAAGCAACAGACTTATTGTTACCCGATGTATATAATTGGAACAGATTAGTGGATTAAATTCTTAAATCATTCCAAGTTAGTTCAGAAAAGGAGATGGATTTTATAGTTTGTGTGTTATGTTTGTAGTTTAGTTAGTATTATTTATCTTTTGAGGTCGTAAGCATAGAAAATTAACCGATATGTTGAACTAGGTCGCACTGGATACTCACTGTTTTGTTATTTTCCTATTAAAATACTATTAAATGGTAAAAGTGAAACATTATATTAAAAAAAGTAAAAGTGAAACCAGATACATGTAAAATGCTTTTAGAGCTCATATAATGAACAATTTATTGTAATTTTAAGTTATACCATTATTATTTGTAAGTTATCTTAGTTTTAATACCATAAGGAAGGCGTAATAATTTTCTTTTTTGTATATTTTTGACTGACCTGTTCACGAATGCTTCTATTTTTAAGTCTTTTATTATATGTATAGTAATTATTTATATTTAAAATCGTCACATGTAATGGTTGTCAGCTTTAAGAACTTTTGTTAAATGATATCTATCTCTATGTATTGTATAATGATAAATTATAAACCATTATCACACCGATAATGACGATATTATTAAGTAATTATTTTATTAATTGATTTCGGAAACCTGTTAGTTTATTGCTAGTAATGATATTGCGATTAAATGTCATTTAAGATATTATTATCTTACTTCTTTGATTGTTTTGAATAAAATTCTCGAGGCTAAAAACAAAAATGGTTAAGTAAGAAGAACATCGTAATGCAAAACAAAGTATGTCATTCGACCTTCCGATGTTAGTTAAATCACGTATACGATCATTTATATGTGACGATGCGGACACGACACGACATGACACGTCACGATATTCACCTGTTATACATATATCGGATATAGTAGTATTAACTCATGTAATGTAATGATTATGATAGTTTTAAGAGGTTTTATTTATTTTTATTATTATATTAAGATTCTTTGGACATGACTGTGTATATTAAACGAGACCAAATCTACACCCATCTATATCATATATCTGTACCTGTTTTATTAAGAAAGTATATTTTTTATATTACAGTCTGATTTTTTAAACGAAAAGTTACAAATAAATATATGTATATATATAAATATCTGGTATTATTTATTCATTTAATATACAAAAATGGTTCAATATGAATCACACTATATGGCCCCGTTACAATAAACGTGGCATAAATTCTATCCAATTACCAAATGACTGCAATTAGAATCAATTATGTTAGTCACCTCTCACTAAATATGCAATTTATTATCGTATCGCGAGGTGTAAAGCCGCTGTTCTTGAGGTCCGGACAAGTTGCGCACGAGTTTATAAAAGTAGTCGCGGCTTTGCAGCGTTTCTCATTCCACTGCCAACCTTCGATCACGACACACGAGCATCATGGGGAAAGAGGAGCTTATCAAAGGTGTGCTTTACGTGGTGAATGTGTTGTACGCGATATTCGGTTTAGTAACTGCGGCCACGGGGATATGGTTCTTTGTGCAGCTCTCCGAATTCGTCGCGTTGAGAAACAGCAACCATTACCTCTTGGACTACAGGGTGTACTGGCCACAGGTGGCGCCATGGCTCTTCATATTGCTGGGCTTATTTGTTATGATGGTGGCCTTTTGTGGATGGTGCGGAACCAACAGGGAGAGCAGAGGTCTCCTGGGTATATACGGGATCTTTCTCATCCTTATTATCCTTGGACAAGTGATCGCGGCTACTTTGATCTTCGTTTTTGTGGACGGTGAAGACACCGACCGCTTCATCAAGGACACCGTGTACGATGGATACTACAACTCCCAATCTAACCCTGATGTATTCAAGGCTTTTGGAAGAATCGAAAGGAAGTTAAGATGTTGTGGCGCCAACGACGCTCGTGATTACAGGAGCTGGAGGAACGATTTGCCATTGACCTGCTGTCAGGACAGCTATTACAGAGCCACTTGTGACTTTACTGATAAGGAAGCCAATGAAAGATTAGGATGTGCCAAGGTCGCTTCAGTTTATACGAAGATAATAAGCTCATCAGTCGCCGGTGCCTCGCTGCTCATCTCTTTAGTGGAGATAATGGGAGTCATAATGGCTTGGAGATTGTTTAATTCGTTGCGGGAGGTGGAACATTACATCACGGAGAGAAAAGAGGGTGAAACTGAGTGTTAATACAGGTAAAGTTTTTAATAGTACGAGTCATGTAGCTTCCATTGTGTTTGAGTCGATGCGGTTGAACGGTTGTAGGACTATTGACTGTATTGTGTTTAGTTCTGTGTGAATAGATTCGAGCCTATTTTGTAATGAGCTATGCCATTTACTGGACTTTGTTATGCAAAGAAGCTTTATTTCCATTAAATTAATAACGTTTGCAAACACAATATATTTACATATTGATTATAAAACGTCGCATAAAGTAACAAATGGACTATAATAACTGCATTTTTTGCAGCGCCAATAAATATTACATCGTCGTAATATAATCACATAAAGTCATCAGTTTCTTGTTTGTGATGCATTTTATATCGACTCATTCACAATTCACGGTGCTAGTACTCCTTTAGTTTAATACCACCGATTGTGCGATAAACGCTCTTATGTCCTGAATTATAAGGCTTGTTTTACATCACGAGTACGAATTTCCGAATCGAAACGAAGTCTGAACAATTTTCTGGCAGGAAAGTTTTTCCAGCACCCACGCTGTTGGATATAAACTTTGTTTTCTTTTGAGAAATTTAGAATGTTTATTTCTAAGTTAGTTTTACATTCCACGTTACCGATTTATAATTATATTTTAATATTACTTCCATTATAGTAATATATTATATATCTATTTTATGTTAATGGTTAATCGATTATTCTAATTATTGTTCAGTATTTATAAACTTAATATATTTTGGCATAGTTAAGTCGTCATCATTCTCAACTGTATTTGGTATGCCAGCCGAATGTAAGGAGTTCACGAACTTATTAGCGCCGCAGGTCAAAGATTCATTTGGATAAATTAATATCCTCTTTAACTGAATGAATCACGCCTGAATCATTACAACAGAATTGTGCATTTGACCCCTCCCTCCCTCCCTCCCCCCTCTACCAATATTGTAATTATTATACGTATGATTGCATAAGCTAAGCATGCGTTAAGAGGGACCATGAGAATAAAACGACCTCGTCTTTAAATCGAGTTTCGCTTACACAACAGAGATCTACTCTTCAATTCGAATACAGGTTTTACAAATAGTAGTTAATCATTTAATTCATTTGTTTCTACATTTTAATGAAACGCATGTCCATTTGAATGTATAATTTTAAATGAATGCCTCAGTATGAGGGGCGTTGCGTATGTTTTACCTCTCAAGGCTGCTAATCGGTATGTCGTGTCGATAGATTTCGTCATTTAGTTGCGTAAGTTCTCAGAGCTTCTAGAGGACTCATGGTGTCGAAATATTATCTGGGTCACTATTGACAGGTGTTTTTAAATCGGTTTTGCGAAATAGAAATGGTGCCATCGAATAGGCCGTTGATTGTAATGTATGGTTATATGTATTGAAATAAGATTGTAGATGTACGACAGAGTTTAATTAAGAAATGAGCCAATATTTGTAAAAGTGTTATAAAATTATTACGCCAATTCGGATTGCCTATTATAATAAGAACAATATATTTGTAAAAATCCGTCTAAATAAATTATTTTACGTAATAATTAAGTGATGTGGATTTTCCGTCCTTTTTTAATAAACGCCATAATGTTTACATATTATAAAAATAGAAAACTGTTATCATATGCCAAAGATGTGTACAAATGTAACGCATATCTGAATTATAAAAATAAATGAAGCTTGCATGAAAAATATATGTTATATTCTACATACTTAACCACAGATTTAATTTGTAAGATATTTTTTTTATATAAAATAATTATTGTAAAGTCAGAGCTAGTCTTAAGGGCGTTCATAATAATATTATAAATAGAATAAAATTTTATATCTCAATCTATGGATATTTTATTTTTATCACACTATATAGACGCAGTTTTCTTCGTAAATAGAGCTATGTACATATAGGTATATAATATAACTCTTTGAGTACACAGGGGACTAAATAAACACATAAAAAGTTGTAATAACAGTGAAAAACCGAGTCACGGGTCACAACGGAATCTTGAATGACTTCAAAGACTCTTAACAACTGGATGTGGCGTTTTGAAAGATTCAGTCTTATAATTTCTATTATTTCTGTTTCCATGGTAATTGGAATGCCATAGTTGTTAATAATAATTGCGTAATGCCACATAATAAATGTTAGTTAATAACCCTCATTACTTGATTGTATTTTATGTTATAAATATGTAAGTAATAACAACCGATTTACTAGATCTCTGTATGCAGTCATTAACTATGATTGTAGAGTTCAAGTTATAGAGGACATAAAATCTATTGATTCAGACTATAATATCTTAATTATAAGTCACGTATGTTCTTGAACAGGTTTTCTCACTGTTTTCCTACAATTCCTAAAAACACGTGTCACCTTAGACTAGTTTATTAAATACTTGACTATGAATTCAATATTCCTACTAAATATTATATATTTTTATCCGTCTCAATATATAACTATTATATATAACTCTTCAAGTTATATAGTATGGTCTCTTGTTAATATTAGTAGGAGCTGTAGAAATAAACTTGTGTACTGAGTCGTAATAAATTATTTTTTTATTGCTATTAAAATGTAAGTGAATACAGGAACAAACATCTTGATACACACACACACACACATACACACACATACACAAGTACATATACACTTTTTTTGTTATTAAATCTCTTGAAGCCGTTTCAATATTTTCTTGTTCCACGTTCGACCTACATCCAGTAGTTGTTTGAACCATAAACAAACTAAATAAGTTTGAATTGTGATTCGTAAGTTCTGTTCACGATAACCAATCTATAGTACTATTGACTAATATCTATTAGATAATATTATTTAATTATTATTTCATATAAAACAATTAAAATCACACTAAATAGATATTGTTATTTTTCATTTTTTTAGATATATGTAGTTGTAGGATTCATTATTTTTGTGTATTTGTTATATTAATAAACCTTTTTTCGTTACAGCCTTAATAAATTAAAGATTATTTATACTATATATCCTTATTATAAGTCTGACCGGGATTAATGTCGCTTTTTTCCATTTGATATTTAACCCCATCAGTAAACCCATTTCATTATTAGTGATTTATTAAAGACTTTGGGTTTTATTTCATGGCGTTATAATAATCAACATATTAAAATAACATAACAGAAATAACATAACAGAAATAATATAAAAAAATAACATAACAGAAATTAGATAAATAAATATGCAAAATTATTTATATTCCTATTTACAGTTGAGGTACTATAAAGTTTTTTATCTAGAAACATTTGAAATAAAAAAATAGGGGTTGAAGATAAAAATATTGGGTCGATGTATTTTTAATGCTACATTATAAAAAATTAAAAACAAAAAACCCATCCTAAATTTAATAATAAATTAAGGGTGAACAACTCTTTAGCCAGGTTTAGCCAGATTTAGCCAGACCCTGGCTAAAGCTGGGAAATTGCCAGGTAGAAGAAGAGAAGAACTCTTATGACTTAGGGATATGAATAGATGTTGGCCGATTCTCAGATGTACTCAATATACTCATAAAATTACATCAAAATTGGTCCAGTCGTTTCGGAGGAGTTCTCTGTGAAACACCGCGACACGAGAATTTTATATACATACATATAAATATGTACGTGTAGATGTATATATGGAGGTATATAAGGTGTTAGTTATTACGTCATGTACTATGCTAAATAAAGTAAGGTAACGAACTCATTAAAAACGCTAAAAAATATTACTTAATACAGCCAAGTGAATTGAACCGTTCAATGAAGGCTCTATTAAAAATAGAAACATACTTAAAAACGGATCTGTATATACAATCTTCTTTTTCTACCTCGCAATTTCCCAGCTTTAGCCAGGGTCTGCCTTACATGTAAATGGTTTTGGCTAATTGTTTTATGACCGGCCGCCTGCCTGACATCAATCCTCTTTGGGAATGCATTAATCAGTGATGTCTTGATATTCATAGAAAGTACATATGACTCGGAAAAATCACATTGTTACTTACCCGGGCCAGGATCGAACCCGCGCTCTCGTGCATGAGAGGCGAACCTTTTAACCACTAGGCCACCACTGACTTTAATACAATATAGACACATAATTCTCATTTACACAAAATATATTTCTTGTAAATATAATTGTAATACTTACAATTATAATTTATTTTGCATTTCCGTTCACCTTAGTCCATTAAAATAGATTTGTCCAACTTTAACTTCTATTGAGGTGAAACTAGTATTAGAGTTGCTTTTGGTCCTTAAAATTGAGAGGGTAGGTTCATGTGACCTTAATAGCATTCCGATGGTTTAATGAGAACTGTTGTGTAATCGTTTTTAATTATGGTTGTTATTCGACAGCCTTTGAGTTGTTGGAGTAAATCGTTCAAATAAATGTTTGCAAAGGTTTGTAGATATTGTACAAATACATAGATTATATTGATGTTAAACTGATTTAATAGTGAAATGATTTTTATTTTCCTCTGATCATAGATTGGAATTTTTTTATTTTGTTTCTTTTAAATATTGAATATTTATATTCAAAGTATGGTTCATTTATAATATATTTTCCGATAATGTAAATAATATGACCGCAGGTATTTCCTGAGCTTAATAAAATTGCCGCTGGTGTCTTTAAATACACGCTAACGCCAGTCCTAGTTTACTTATTTTATATTGACTAGTTTGTGAGCTCGACTTTGCATATAAATTTATATAAATTAATTTCATAGTGTCATAAAGATTTTTTTAAATTGTTAACAATCATAAGTACAGTACCAAATCACATATTTTTTTGTACACACCACTTTCTGTGTGATTGTCATATACTATTATTATAAGACTAGTAATAATGTACTAAATCCTGTCTGCTTGAAATGAATCGATGTCCACGATATAGGCCTGGCCTAGTGTGGACGTCAAATTTTACTATAAATTGCATAGTTAAGTGTTTTTACAAAGAAAATAAATAAAAAACTATTAACTATGTATACAAGTTCCATTCAAAGTAAAAAAATT